GGGAGAGAGAGAGAGAGAGAGAGAGAGAGAGAGAGAGAAGGAATCCGTACATCACGCTGCGCGCCGTATATCGTCGCTGTAACAAAGAATCCCCCGTGATTATTGGAAAGCCATGTGAGAGACGTTCGAATGGACGTAAGAGTACTTTCGATTCTCCACTCCTCGCGCGAGAATTCGCATTGCCTTTGTATTCGCGAGAACCATCTTAAACGTGAAACTTGCGGATTACAATCGACTTTAACGCTCCCTTTCCTTCCCTCTCGCACCCTTGCTGCGTTTCACTCTTCTCTTTCTACCTTCTCTCTTCTCTTTCTGTTGCACCTTCTTTTCTTTTTTGTTTCTTTTAATACGTCGGTTATGAATGGAAAAATGTCCAAGTCGACGCCGACACGTTAGCGATCGCGTGTCGTTTACAAATTATAGTTGCCGTTCCGCACTTTCAATGGAGCTCTAGATCGCGTCTCGCACACCGAAGCCAATTAGAAGAAACCGCGGATCAGGCTAAAAAGGCGGCGATTGTTGACGGCGTCCGAGAGAACGCCGTCCGAAAATCGTATCGCGGGACGCGCAGCTTCGGAACGTCCTTCGATCATAAATCAAACCGGTCTCTCGGGCGAATCGCGCGAGCGACTCTTTCTCTCACCATCTCGCGGAACGGAGCGAAATGACGTGGCACAATGATGCCGCGTAAATGGAAAGAAGAGAGAGAGAGAGAGAGAGAGAGAGAGAGAGAGAGAGAGAGACCGGAGAATCGACGTCTCACGGTTAACAAATTATACATCATGATGGATGACAACAATTTCGTTCGGCGGGTATTACCGACATAATGAACCTACACAATGACTCTGTACACTATGTAAATTATATTAATGACCGCTTAATTAATAGCCCCGTACCGCTAAATATATCGTATCTATGCGACCACGTCGCGATTCTTTTCTCCTTCATCCTTTTGGTTTTACGCAGCGCGTGCAAACGTGCGCAATCACGCAGCGTATTATCGTCCGGCGGATAGTCCGCGATCGCGCTTCTCCAACGATCGATGCTTCTTCGTCTCGCGTGCGTCACTCGTTATCTCCTCTCCGCGATCAATCGCGATATCGTCTCTCTCTCTCTCTCTCTCTCTCTCTCTCTCTCTCTCTCTCTCTCTCTCTGCTTCTCTTTCTTATTGTCATTTGCGTACACGCGAGACCTCGATTAAGTTCGATCCTGAAATTACCTGTCACCATAAATCGCGATACTCCCGGTGCGTACCGTCATTACATGACACGTAACGACACATTATCGTCATTACTATTAAAATCATAATCACACGAGTCATCCATGTTACATCGATCGGCTCAGCGGAGGGAGGGAGGGAGGGAGGGAGGAGAGAGAGGACATTATTGGTGAGCCGCCGATACTAATCGTTCGGATCTGTCGGCCGACGGTGTAACACCGACGCATTAACGACACGGGAAGAGGCGGCCGTTAATGAAAGACACAAATAATCGAAATCCGTCCCGAGAGTTCCCGCTCGCAACTGAGAATTGGTCGCACGCGCGCGCGCGTCAATCCTCGTGTCCGGAGAATCCGCGAAGCCACCAACGGTCCGGACTCGCCCCCTACGTACACATGTATGCACGTACATACGTATCCACGTAGCCACGTCGTGTCACGGATAATCTGTCGGACGTTACTTCGGAAGAGAATACAGGCGGTGAACGGATCTATGGGAAACGGAGGGATTAATAATCGTAAAAGTCCGTGTCCTCTAAGAGCCATAAAGCTGCAGGCAATATTCTTCCGTCGTATACCCATCGCGCTCTCCCACTCTCTCTCTCTCTCTCTCTCTCTCTCTCTCTCTCTCTCTCTCTCTCTCTTTCTCTCCTTGCCTCACCTCGCCACACCTCACCTCACCTCACCCACAACCACCTCCGACTCACCTCCTCACCCTCTTTTCCACCTCCGGCACCCCCTCGCCGTAACTACCTACCTCGTCTCCATCTTGCCCGCTCTTCTCTTCGTATTAGGTATATATATATATATATATATGTACATCTCTCTTCCCCTCTCTCTCTCTCTCTCTCTCTCTCTCTCTCTCTCTCTCTCTCGTTCTCGCTCTCGCCTCTTGCGTCTGTCTCCGCCCTTCTACATACTTGGCGCTCTTCCCCCTCGTCCACTTTAGCCCGTTCTGCCTGCCTCCCGCTCTCTCTTTCGTTCATTCGTTCGTTTGCTCGCTTCCTTCCTCGCTTTCTTCTTCTCTTTCTTCCCTTCTGTTGTTCCCTTTCCGCTCGCTACCCTTTCCAACCGCGCCACAGTTCTTCGTCGCGTCGAGAGGACCTTCCTCTCATAACGCTTACCCCTTTGCACAATTCCGTCCCACCCCCACCCGACGACGCGCGATTCTCTTTGAACGTATTCTTCTGTAGCGCTTTCCTTCCATTTCTTCCGGGACGACTCTCCTCCGCGGGTCGTTGTTACCCCCCTCGCCCCGATCCCCGGTTTGCACGGCATGGCGAAAGTCGGCCAAAGAAACGGGAGAAACTAATTAATCGGCCAAGTCGAAGGCTCTGTATCGCAAACAGCCGATACGATGGTCGGTGTATTAACGCGACGTATAATTATCCCGGGAACAGATTAGGGGTTTCTTAAGCCGCCCTATCTACGGCATCGTCATCGTTGAATTAGCGTTAGGGGAGCCTGCGCGCCGCTTAAAGAGCATTTAATAGCTTAAAATGCGGCTCTATTGTAACCGTCGTCTTTTCCTTCCTTCGATTCCCCTGTAGCGCTCGTACGCATACAATGCAAGTGCAACGTAGCGCGGCTATATCGTCGCTGGCCCCGGTCCAGGAGGACTGGGAAAATCTAGGTCGTTCCAAAGATTCAACGACATTGCTCTCATAGCCGGTAAGTCTACTCAACTGCCTCTCTTCCCTCGGCTGACTCGCGTATATTCCCATCCTCTCCTCCTCTCTCCCTCCGCCCCGCTGCGAGATCGTTAACAGTGTCTATAGACGAGAAATCTTTTTCCCCGCATTATACCCCTATAAGGGGTACGAGAGTAGAATAAGACTACGAAAAGAATGAACGGGGTAGGAGTAACAAATCGGAGGGGCGAGTAATCCGGAGCGACGAGAGATTAAGATGTAGCATCACCGCCCCTCTTCCCTCCTTATTACGCGCTAAGCATTTGTCTCTACGCCGAATGGGGAGGGTTGTCATGAACGCGCACGTTCGGTCACCACTCGAGATATGAAGAGAGCGACTGACTGACTGACTGACTGAGCGAACGACCGAGCGAGCGAGAGTGAGAGCGAGAACGCGAGAGAGAGAGAGAGAGACAGACAGACAGACAGAGAGAGAGAGAAAGAGAGAGAGAGAGAGAGAGAGCAGGTGCTCAAAAAAGTAATCACCACGGCTGGTTGTTGCAATTTCAAGACGTCCCGTTGTTTCCATACCCTTCCGAGCGCCACTCCATCTACCCACCGTCCTACTCATCCCACTTTAGCACCCCATGGGGGTAGCTACCCGGGGGAATCAATAACCGACGAGGGAGCGCACGGAGCGAGGGTAGTGGCGGGGCAGAGGATCGCAGGTTTGGGGTTGGGGGTGGCACGCGGAGCGGTGGAGCGGTGGAGCTTGGCTCCGCCTCCGGCACGCGACCAGCACGCGACCGTCGTCGTCGCCACCGTCGTACCTCGTCTCGCCTCACCTCGTCTCGCCACGTCTCGCCTCGCCTCACCTCACCGCCGCGGCCACCACCCCTGACCCGGATCCTTTGCTTCCCTCGATGCTCTCTCTCTCTCTCTCTCTCCCCCCCCCCCCGCTCGCTCTCTTTCTCTCGTTCGTCTGACGGCGTGTCTTCCTTCCGCCCCCGACGGTCCCGGATGTACGGCGTCCTTACTATCCGTTCTCTTGGATAGCGAAGCCACTTTTCATTGTCGTCGTACTTTTTCGACGGGCGGATCAGATTGAAGATTTAGACACAAATTTTGGCCGATGAGCGTCGCGTGGCACAGCGAGCCGGGCGTTCTCGACGTGCTCGTGCTGTGGCGTGGCGTGCCGTTGATATGAGATAAAGCTCTCCCCGTGTGGCCATCGCCCGGGGGAACGTCTTAATTTTAACATCTGGGCTATGCGAGAACTTTACATCCCTCCGGTTATCCGCATACATAATACGCCATTGTATGATATGAAATAATGACGGAATCGATAGATTCTTCTCTCACGCGGACTTCGATTATCGACGTTCGAATCGATAAGGCCCAATCCGATAGAAATCAAATTCGTCGTCATCGGAGAAACGCAGACCGCATCGACACGCAGCTTCGTAGCCGCATCTTTCCCCGCGTCTGCTCTTCGTTTAAACGACAATGAGTCGCGGGAAGATTAGCGATCGAGAAATCATCATCGCGAGAGCGAATCACACCGGATCGGAGGATACTCGATTACGCGGAGACGAGCAATAACGCATGTTTAAGTGAAGAAAGAAGGAAGGAAGGAAGGAAGGAAGGAAGGTGGATAAGAAGGAGATACAGGTGGCAAGAGGGGCCGAGAGAGTGGCAGGAAGGAGGAATCGATAACAGCGTGGCACGCGGCGGCAGCCAACCCTTCGACTTGACTAAACCGCGCTCGGACCACCGACGCAGCTACTTGTGAATTCTCACTCATTCGCTCCTCACCGTTCCAACGAGCGCTCGCTCGCAGCATCCCTGACGGACGGATCTCTTTCCCTTCAGCCGAGGCACGACAATTAAACGCACGCTCGATCGCCTATTCTCGCTTGTCGAAGCTCAATCGCGACGTGATCGTTACGCAGGAGACGCTGGAGGAGTTCCGCATTCGACCGTTCGCACAACCGTTCCACTCGTGCACGAGGAAAGAGAGGATGGATATTGTGCAACGTTATGCACACCGACCGCTTTACGTTTTACGTATAGCTCAAGGATGCGGAGACGATCGCCGTTGCAGGATACAGATCGAAAGCTGCGTGAATAAACGCTCCTCGGGTCTCCGACTGATCTTGCACTTGTTCTTTATTCGGACGTCGAAGCGTCACATCAACACCGTCGATTTTCTACACGAAGCCTATCGCAAATCTATTCGCAAAAGTATCCGCAAACGATGATGACGACGACGACGACGACGACGACGACGACGTGTGTGGCGAGGGAGGGTCCTAGGAATCCACAACTCGGTCGCGATCGCTGAAAGCAAAGTATCGTTACTGCAATATCGATCTCCCGCAGGCGCTCCGTGCGAGCCGCCTGCGCACATATAAGTCACTCGTCAATTATACAATGCATCTCGTACGAGCGGCGTCTGTTTTAGCATGAATCTTTCAGGAGCGCAATCGCGAATGTAATTGGTCGGACATACGTATGTACTTGCATACACACGTACGTACGTACGTACTGTTCTCCGGCGAGATCACGCGGGAGCGGGATGCGCGCTCCAAGAGAGAAAAGAACTCGTAATATCCTTTCCCCGTCGTCCCCGTATCGCGATCCGTCATTGTGCGCGTCCCGCGGATGTATGTCGCATTTTTCATTTGGACGCGTGTACGTGAACGTACATCGTCGGCGCGCGTGCGCGCGCGCGCGCAGAACTTTTGATAGATAGCCGATACGCGTATCGCGGAATTTATGAAATCTAAAGTTCTCAAGTACGTATGTACGGCGGACGAATGGAGACGAGAGCGCTATCGTGTTTCTCCCGGCGTATCGCGCCGGTAAACGTATTATTCGTAGGACCAGTCGCGATCAGGGACGCGCGCGTGTCGGTTTGTTCCGCGAGAAATCTCCGCATGCGGAACACCGGGGTGTATGTATGTCGTAAATAGCGCGAAGATATTTGCCACTCGACGGGCGCGTGCGTGTGCGATACACGTCCTCTACTGCTGCCGTTCCCCTTTCCTTCTTTCGCCCGTGTGCATTATCTCGGGGATGCACCGGGTCTACGAGAGCTACGGCGAAACTTCTCCGATGCGAGCACAGGCGAGCGGAGGAGCGACGGAGGGGGGGGGAGAGGGAGGAAGCGAGGGGAGGAGGAAGGGAGGAGGAGGGGAGGGCGGTGGGAATAATTAGCGAAGTTTGTGAATTGCCGAGATAGCAGAGAGATTACTATTGGATTAGACGCCGACTTTTGCCGGTCTAGATGAAAAGCTCGCTCGCGTATAACAGCGCGAAGAGTATCGCAACGTGTGAAGAGACTTGCATCGTCGTCGGGATCGTCGCGATCCCGACGAGGGGAAAACTAGGCGGTTTCGCGGTGGCGAAAGTAGCCGAGAAGCGTAGTTCATCTCGATCTGGGTACGAAACACGAGGGGAGGAGAAGGGAAGGGGCAAAACACGAGGAAAAAAAAGAGCAGATCCGGGGCGAAAACATCGAGAATGACGAATTGATGTAAGAAGCGAAATTACTTCCGCATCTTCTTCGGCGGTGGTAAAGCACCGTCGTGGATCCACGGCCGGCGCACAGTCGCGACGCCGATGCCGTGTAGAGGAGGAAGAGGAGGAGGGGGAAAGAGGAAGAGGAGGAGGAGGAGGAGGACGAGGACGATGACGACGACGACGACGATGACGATGATGACGACGACGACGACGACGATGACGACGACGACGACGACGACGACGACGACGACGACGACGACGACGACGACGACGACGACGACGACGACGACGACGACGACGACGACGACGACGACGACGACGACGACGACGAGGACGACGACGACGACGACGACGACAACGACGACGACGACGACGACGACGACGACGACGACGACGACGACGACGACGACAACGACGACGACGACGACGACGCCGATGCCGCCGCCGCCGCCGCTGTCTCGTTCCATCGCTCAAAACTGCTCGAAACATCAATTCGACGACGACGTATATACGTCTGTAACCTATGCCCGTAGGATTGTCCCTCTCTACCTCTCATGGGTGCACCCTTCTGTCCGCCCACCGCGGGTACGGGCGAGGGCGACGAGGATCCGCGAGGAAACGTGGAAGAGGGGAGAGCTAGTCGAGAGTAAGTGAGTGGTTGGGTGGTTGCCTGAGTGATGGCGGCGGCGGGGGGTGGTGGTGCAGAAGGCAGAAGAGGAGGAGGTGGAGGTGGAGGAGGAGGAGAGGGCCGTTGGACCGGAAAGAAAAATACAGTCGCAAATCAAACAGAAAACACATTTTCGCTCTTTTTATACCTCTTTCGCGTAAATATTTGTTCTGGAAATATACGTTCGTTTCGTTTCGTTTCGTTTCGTTTCGTTTCGTTTCGTCTCGTCTCGTCTCGTCTCGTTTCGTTCCATCTCCAGTATCACGGGTCTTTCTGTTCTCGCAAAATGCACTGCGGACTCTATGCACGCTCGCGCTCACGTATGCGTAAGCATACACGCACTCACGCATGAATGTCGCACGCTTCCATCCCCATCGTGCCGCAAAACCCGAGGGCGATCCCAATCGAGAAATTAGCAATTTTGCAGCTTAAGTAAATTTCACCGACTGCGTTGTCGTAGTCATCGTCGTCGTCGTCGACGTCGACCGCCTATGGGCGAGAAGATATAGGCTCATGATAAAAGTACAAACGAATAAATGTATATGAGAGAGAGAGGGAGAGAGAGAGAGAGAGAGGTATACATCATACATACATATGTGTACATATATATACACACTCACTCATATATGTACACATATATGTATATGTAGAGAAGGAGGAGAGAGGGAGAGAGGGGAAGAAAGAGAGAGAGAGAGAGAGAGAGAGAGAGAGAGAGAGAGAGAGAGAGAGAGAGAGAGAGAGAGAGAGAGAGAGAGAGAGAGAGAGAGAGAGAGAGAGAGAAAGAGAGAGATAACACGAGCTCGAGCGAGGCACGTCGGCACCGCGACTCGCTCTCATTTTAAAGTTCCAGAGGATAAAAGTGGGGGAATACTTTAACTCGGAATGAAATTTCAAAAGAATGGAACGGGCGGTGAAGGAGGCGGAGGAGCAGGAGGAAGAGGAGGAAGCGAGGGTGTTTCTCTCAGCCAGCCGGCTTTTCCTCTACTGAAAAATGTGTAATACGAGCTCACAGTCCGCCTGCTCCCCTTCCTTCCTTTCCCACCCTCGCGAGCGCGGGGGAGTACCTCTCCACGACCCCCATCCCCCGCGACGTCCTCCTCCTCCTCCTCCTTCTCCACCTCCTCTTCCTGCCGGTATACCCTCTTCCATGTACATTCCAGTTTCGCTACTCGGATGGCTGAGCGGACATATTGAAAGCGCGCGTAGACAACACTGGGTTTTGCTTTTGTGCGCGGCGTCGCACTCGCCCTTACGAATATTAAACGATACCTCGGTGCCTGCGAGCCGATGCCGAATACACATTTGTGGATTTCTGAAATCTGAATCGGGACGATGAGGAGGGGGGAAGAGAGGGAGATTACGATGACAAATTCGGTATCTCCTAATGGTTATCCTATTATAGGGTACAATGCTCTGGGGATCGATGAAATCCTTCTCATGTCGCTAAATATCGATTACGAGTCCTGTTCCCCGTAAAATTTGTCGCCGTAAATAATAATGTAAAAGGTGTCCCCTCGCGATTACTGGCGATGTTGCGCGCGCGCGCGCGCACGTGTGTGTGTGTGTGTGTGTCATTCTTTCTCTCTCGTAACGTGCTTTAAAATACAACAATGTCGCGAGAACAGACCCTTATCGATCAGATGTTTCAATTACTACCGGTACTATACTACTATTACGGCGCAGTCACGCGACGCTCTTAGAGAGCATAATTTCTTTCTTACCCCGCTTTCCTTTAAGCAGTCGTAGTCACATATGGCAGGCTCAGCGACGAAGCGAAAGACCACACGTCCTCGTTTGTCCAGTTACGCAAAGGATTATTGATTTGCAATCGGTCCGCGTTACTCGCGCCGGCATAGCGACGGTTAACTTCATTCACGCCATCCTCCCCGGTCTTTCCGACTAGCAATGTTCGTAAATGCGCTTGCATGGTTATTAATTCGTTTATGCTTTTATCGGGCTCGGCTTCCACGGTGCACACCGCCAGATTATATCTAACAAATACACGAACCGATTTTTATCTCCTCGCGAGTATCGCCACACTATTGTCACTATAACAGTGATTTACACGCTAATCTATTCGATTGTATGAATATTGCAATTTGATCGATGTATCGATCGATGCTGCCATTACTTGTCAGTCATCTCCTTGATGAATTCCTCGAGATCAATCGACGTCTGTTTCTCCATAAAGTAAACTGCTCGCAATTTGTCATTCGAATTAGATTGGGTTCTACATATATGAGCGAGATGAATAACGATGCTCGATTCTACGCCGCCGTCCATACGTATCGAGACGCTCTCAGGCTCTCGATAAAATTGTCTGTACGCAGTGGAAATTGTTAATATTCCAATGTGAATATTGTTATGACGATGTTCAAGTCTAAAAATGCATTGGTCTCTTTTACCTAAGCTCTTCCAGTAACTGTTCGTAGATCGATCGACGATGCGGGCAGCTCTGAAGGAAATTATTGTACTTCGTGATGCAATCTACATGTGGTGTCCGATCGAATTTTACGAAAATGTCAACAGGATTGAGCTCGTAAAATCGTTGTTTAGCATTCTCAGTGTCGCCTTTATTATCGCTCTCTATAGTTACGAACGCTTTATAGTACCTACGTATCATTTATGTTGTGTTTTACTCTTGCAAAATAGAAATCGTTCGCTCAAATTCGAAATCGTTAGAAATACGCAAAAGCAGGTCAGTTAAAGGATATCCTGTTTGCGATATTCTCGTGAAGTTACATTCGTACGACACTTAACGGTATGTCCAGTAATCAAAAAATATGGAGCTTAAACTCTCTTAAACGTGCCTTGTATTGCGTTTAAAGCAGTTCGCGATTGTTTTACTCTGCATTACCTGCAATTGCTCACTGGATAGGAACCAAAGGAAACATTGGGAAATTCTTTTACTACCACTGATAAGGCATTCGTAAACGCTTCTTCCCTGGCATTTATGAATACCTCATCTTTTACAAATCTCTTGTTCGTTGTGGAAAGTAAATCCTGCAACATGCGAAGCAAAGGAAGGATACAGATTAATCCGGAAAAATTGCTGAAGATGGTTCTATTGAAATTACCTCGTATAAACCTTGAAAGGATCTTTCAAAGAATACCGGTGAACCTGGAAAAACGTATACATTCTCTAATACAATGTACGGATACGCGTTTGGTTTGCCTGTACGCGTATTTAAATTGAATTTTAGAGATGCTTTCTTTGGAATCTAAAAAAGATGAACAGTGTTAGTGTTTACTCCGTTCGTTTTTTCTTACTGAGTCAATTTACTGAATTTGTAGTATTATTATTTGTTGCATTATATGTTATATACATTATTGACATACCAAAGCCATCTTATAGGCAGGAGATAGAGGATCTTTGGCACCAAAATGATCTTTTATTATATCCACCAATTTAGGATGATAATGTAGTGTATCGTCAAAGGCCTTAGCTAAGCCTGCCAATCATCAAATATCATGACATTTTTGCAGGGTCACAATTTTTTCTTTCAGGGATCATATATTCACCTTCAAATGTAACATCATCATGTGTTGGTCCAATTCCACCAGATGTTATAACATAAGTAAACTTACTAGAGGCATCTCGAATCTCCTTTGAGATTTCCTCAACACTATCACTTATGACAGAAATCTGTAAAGCAAATTGTTCAATATTATAAGATAATTCTGTATATAACTTTTATTACATATTATTAAGATTTAAATGGTGTTGTTAATAAAATTACCAATGATTAATTAACTACTCACCTTTTTTACTTTAACACCACATTTATACAATAAGCCACACATGTGATAAGAATTTGTATCTCTCACTTGAGCTTTTAATATTTCATCTCCAATAACTAAAAATATACAAAAACCACATTAAAAAAAAAAGAGAATAGCTTTGAGATATTTGCTGTGATATATTGTTATTATACTGACCAATTATTCCTGCTGTTGGATGTTTCACAACTTTTGTATAATGGCTTGACATAACTCGTGTATAAATAGTATTTCTTGTATAAATATGAATGAACCACTGATATAAACTCAACATTATGAATATAAGTAATTTACTGTCAATTACATATACATGTACTCATATGTATATACATATATACGTATAAATTGTAAATAAATATACTCAAGAACATATCTGTATTCTAGTTTTCAAATCATAAAAAATATTCATTACTTATATTAACATGATAATCTTGATAGCATATTAGTTCTTGATACTTCATAACGACACATGTGATTCATCTAAATAATTTTAGAAAATTCCAATGGTATTATACACAAAATAAATTCTGCACTATTTTAAAAACTATATAGCTAAGTACTTACTTCATAAAACTATACTGTACATATAAAGTTCAATTTAATCGTCATATCTATTGATGTACATGTATTACAAGTCACCACAACAAATATGGCGGCCAGCTTGAAGGACCATGTGTGTAATGACAAATTTACTCTTGTTAGCTATATTTTCTGTAAATAAAGTTTACAAATAAGAACAAGAATCGAATAACGTGAACAAGAAATAGAAAGAAAATATAAACGGTAAAATTAAATATCTTCTACCTTATGGTTGAGTTATACTACTTGAAAATAGACTCTCCAAGTCGCTTGTCAATCACGAAGGCTGGAAATAAAGGAATGCCTGACGACTGACTTATCGTTGACCATATTACTTATGAATGAAAGATCTGAATTTGTTGTGAAATGAGATGTCAAAAATAAAAAATTCATCCAACCTAACGTTGTCATACTACATGCTAGACTCTTTAACAGAGCAGTGGCGGCTCGTAACGGAGATGTTGGAACTAATTTACAGAAACAACACGTTTAAAGATGCATTCACAGTTGAATGTTATATATACGAATTGACCATGTGAATACCGCCTTAAAGATTGCTCGCCTGAATTAGACCCCTTATTTGCTCCTGGTTCATAACGGGTCTAAGTGATAAACTGTTGTCTGTTCTTTTTAGCTGCACTACTGAACTGGTGCGATAAGTTAAGGTGAGAAAAAAATATATGGTCTATTCTTTTCAGCTGCACTGCAGAACTAGTGCAATAAGTTAGAATGAGACAACTATATTTTTTCTCACTTAAACTTATTGCACCAGTTCAGTAGTGCAGCTAAAAAGAACAGACCAATAGTTGTCTCATTCTAACTTATTGCACTAGTTCCACAGTGCAGCTGAAAAGAACAGACCAATTGATTCCATTTTCAAATAACAAGACAAAATGGACCATTGATTTCAAGTAGCACGACATAGTAGCAATAATCTTATTTAATCACATCGATTAATTGATTGATACATGATTGATTGATACATAGATCAATGTATAGACATATTTTACCATGTAAAATGTGGTATAATAAAGAGACCATCCCATAGAAATTAATTTATATCTATGAATATTTCTTACAACATACATACATTGATTGATGCAATTAATTTATCAGATAAAAACTATCTTCTAAAAAAACTATCTAAAAAAATCTTATATGAAGTAGGCTTCAACCGATTGTTTGTTTGGATAAATTAAAAATAAAGAGAGTTGAAAACCAGATAGAACACAGCCCATGAAATTTGGTACTTGTATAAAATGATCATTAATCAAACATCCATATGCAAACCATTGGCACGACACTATCATAGAGGCCATTATGACTGGGAAGGGTAAGCTTTCTGTGCTCCTTACTTTTATTACATGTGCCTGTAACAATATTTTATTTATTATTTAATTACTTAATCATTTATATCACAGATAAATATATGGCATAATTTATATAGATGGCCTTATTACTGAATATAATTACAAATTGCATATGTTTACAAATGCAAAGATTTTATGTTCTCTTATACTTACAAGCAGAAACAATGGTGATGCAAAGAACAATACTGTCAGAGTACAACTGAGAAATCCTACTTGTTTTACAAGTACAGTTTTATCCTGTTGCAAGAAAGCACTATAGATAAATATCACTAAAATAAAAACAAGTGCTGCTGCAACTTGTCTAACAGTAGTAGATTTCTTTATGCTGTATATGAGAAAAATGATGATGTTGTATACTTGTAATAATGCCCCAAATAAGTTTACATATACAATAAAGAAATCTTTAATGAGCATGCCATATGTCCACCACAGGTAACAACTGTAATTATTAAAAGATAATTATAAATTTAATTTAATCTCTATCATAGTAATAATGACAAATATTGCGAAAGATTGAATACTTATTTTGTTATATTTATAATACATACGACATTAAGCATGTCACGAAGGATAAGGCTGAACTATCTCCAGTTGTACCATTTTTTATATATTGTCTGCATACTAATCTACAGAGAAAAAAATTCAATTACCTGATGTGTTTGGTATTTCAACTTGTGTTGATCTACCATTATATTAATATATCTTGGGAAAGGATGTAATAAAGAAAAATATGGTAATAAAGCAAAATTAAAAAAAAATAAATACTAAAAAATATTTACCAAATTATGTTCTATATAGGTTGTAAGAAAGAAAATATAATTAGGTAAATAAAATGATACATAACTAGCTGAACTAACCAAAGTAACTAACTGAAGCATGATATTAAAACATATGTATTAGATTATATCAAATTTAATTAAAAACTTATAGAACAATAATATAATACAATATAAATCAAATATATATATTGTGTGAAGAAAAACATGAGACACAATAAATTCGCGATTAAAGCCAACAAAGTGATTGCAAATTTAATGCTTCAACAAAACCGTCTTCGGATTAAGAGTATACGTGTGTCACTTACACGCCAGCTAGATACTGTAAAACAGTACAAATCGATGCGGATGACGCGAGGATGTCCTTAATCTCCATCGAAAACATGATTTAACACATGCATCTCCTTCGCGTCAGTTATCATTTGACACTGGACATGATATATATCTCTCGCTGTTTGACATTTCGTTCACGACACAGGACACATTTGACGTGTGTATATAACAGCATTCGACATCCAATAGGAAAATTTCGACTCTAGAAGCAAAGTGCAGCAGCTAACCGATGCCACTAGAAGAACCATTCTTCTATTGGATGCAAAGCATTACCCGTCAAACATTGCACGCGCAATGTGCAAGAACTTTGTAAATCCCGACGTATTGCAACCTACCTGATCGGTACAACGGGAACGAAGCGAGATACTAATGTTGGCTTCGTTTCAGAGATGACTCTACTATTTTCAGATATATATGTAGGCGCGGCGGTACAAGAGTGGGCGGGGTGAGACGCGGTGTGCTTTTGCGTGTTTCGCATACATCACTGTGCGCTCGGTGTACGGAGTTGTATGTGTGGGTGTGTGTATGAGAGAAAGAGAAAGAGAGAGAGAGAGAGAGAGAGAGAAAGAGTGCGTATGTGTATGTGTGGCACGATCGAAAAATGTATCTTCCGCTGTGGCCGAGCGCGGTATCGCGCATTGCGTTCGTCGTCGTCGTCGTCGTCGTCGCCGTCGCGTGTCCTCGCGGTTAAGAGCGGACCCGCCACCGGGCTGCCGGCCGCCGGGAAAACCCGAGCGTGCTTACGTGCACTGTCCCGCAATAGATAGAGGCCCCGAGAGTTCGTGTGGCCAACGTCCGTCGACCGTCGATTACACAAGCGGACTAACGGGGACCGCGAAGTCACGAAGGTGTCCCATACCTCTCGAAGTTCCATACCGCAGATGGTCATCGCGATCGAGTCGTCCGATTTTCATTGATTGTATTTATAGTGTCCATCCCGGTTTATTTTCGCATGCGGCACGACCGAAAGAACATGCACCTATCCGCTCCGCTGGCTGACGAGGTGTCCTGATCGTAAGTGCTCGCCTGCAACGAGCAACAGAGTGGAGTCCTGATGAAATATAGCTATATATTGTTGTAAGATTTTACATATATACAAGCATACACATACATATATCTATATACGTGTATCGTCTGCGATGTTCGCTTGTGGTGGTATACGTAATACATCGTGAAATATCAGATTTTTGCATCCGCCTATCTTACCGCGTATCCGATTACCGTCCGTTTGTTGAGTAGCCTCGACGAGTTTCGTGAATCACACACGTTATCATCAATGTCGCGTCACGCATCCGAAACGTACGACACGAGAGAAAAATCGGGTGAATAATAAAATATACTCCAGATACAACTGTTCGTATACAGGTATTTGATAATAAGTGTAATAGAAGAATCAGACGTACGTGAATAGAGACTCGAGGTAGAACCTTGTTTTACGTATATTAGAATAAGTTTCTCGTCGCTTGAATATATACATATACATTGTCGGTTTAAATAGACAACATTACATATTTATGTAAAATAGTATCGGGGAGGTAGAAGTGGAATTTTTCATCTAATTTTTGATCGTTTGGTATAATGTCTTGCTAGAACTTACAAGCTTCGTGCAAAATTAATGTTTCGGAACAAATCAATAGAATCAATAGAACATGACATTGTTAGGGTCGTCTACACATCGTCGACCAGGAAATAACGCAGATGTTTTGTAAAAGTAAGAAATCGCGATATTTTGTGAATTTATATCGCAAAGTTGGTTTCGTGACTTTTCTCGCTGGTAACCACTAGCTTATATTTGTATAAATTTGTCCTTAGCTAATCGTTTACCTGTTAGTGTGGTGTTGGAAGTGGATACTCCTAGCTAGAATTGTTACAATTAAAACAAAAGTTGTAAGGGAAAAAAATACAAAATGGAATCAGCTATAGCTGGAAGAAGGCGGACTGCCACAAGGCATTCGGCAGAAGATCAAGCGCTCGATCAAATAGCTAAGGAGGTATGACCTCGATAGAGATATGTGTAATTTTGAAAACAAAAAAAGACATCCATATTACGCACGAATGTATAAGGTCTCACTAAAGCATCATATTGGGAGGTGTTGGTTCAGATGATACAAATGTTGAAAGTAGTGCAGTTACTAGAGTTATCTTTCTGTTCTTCTAGATGTATATATCTCTGTGCACCTAGAAAACTGAATACTTTATCCATCGAGGTTTCTTGCTGTCATACTGTGATACTCTTGTTCTATATTAGTTTGTGCTGCAAAGTAACATAACAGTGCATGTTTTCATTATTCTGTTTATTTTTTGTCTTGTTTAGTTTTGTTTCTTTTTGTTTATAAGTAATTTGAAAAGAGCAAAATTTAATATGGCAAGATAGGAAACTTAAGACTGTCCTACTTGTCAGCTTAAAATATTGGTTGCATGCGAGGTTGCATGTGCAAGTGTTTGTGCTTGTCCACAAATGATTCTCACAACGACAAGGATATGTATATCCTATATTATTTATTTATAATAGACTTTAATATAGAGAAATGTAGAGAGAAATATAGAGACTTTAATATAGAGAAATTAAGAATATTCTCATCAAAATAACATGATCTTTTTAGAAACATCTCATAGGCACAAGTTGTAGTATATAGTTTGTCTTTAAATAATATGTAACCCATATTACATACATTTTGTTTTGCTGTTACTTTGTATTCATATAACACATTCTTTTAGAGAAAATGCTGTGTTAAACTTTCATATAAACTCTTATACATCAGATATTTTATTTCTGTGAATTATATATATATATATATCTATTATATTAAAAATTTTAGATAATTTATGCGATAATTGCACATGAGTGATTTATATTTTTAAATAAAAATAGAGGTAACAGCAAAATATTTTCTTCTAGAAGAAATTCATAATTTTCACTTTGCTATTTCACTTGCTATTTTCTTTAATAATGGATATTAATAAAAGAGCTTTATAATATGGTGAAGTGTAAATAATGAATCAAATGTAAACATATGTTTTTGGTAACAGGCTGGATTTTCCATACATACTTTCAGGCAGAAGCAAGGCTGGCTGCTAGGAGGCAGGCGAGAGCAGAAGCTAGAGAAATTCGAATGCGCGAATTAGAAAAACAACAGAAAGAGGCAGAAGAGAACGCTGACAGGGTTTATGATATGTGTACAGGTAATTAAAGACATATGAGTCACATCATTTTCATATTCCAATCTTTAATGTTAATCTTGTAGTAAGCTCATTTATAAGTACTTATCCATATATTTTTAATTACAGCTGACGTGAACAGAACAATGAGAGTAACTCCGGATCCAGTGCGCACATCACGCCTTCTTACAAATTCCAACAATTTCCAATCGAGTCGCCGATCTTCGGAGGATTCATTGGAAGATGCTGGATTAAGCAGAGATATTAGGGTATGTCTCTGTATAAGCTAGCTTTTTTGAAGTTTTTATCACTCATACAACAAGAATGTTGTAAGTTCCAACAATATCAATGCATTCTTACTTTTTACGTAGCTGGAATTAAAGGAATTTGAAGAAAAATTTCGGAAGGCAATGATAGCAAATGCTCAGTTAGACAACGAAAAATCATCTTATGCCTATCAAGTTGATTTATTAAAAGACAAGTTGGAAGAGTTAGAAGAGACAACGGCACAATTACGTAGAGAATTGAGAGAAAAGAATCGAGATGTTGAACAATTAAAACGGGTCAGTCAGAGATTGAAGGAAGATTTGGATTTTTGCAGAGCACAATTGTACGATAGGGATGAACTTATAAAAGTATGTATATTATAGATAGTTGCACACACTATATTTGTGTTTTTATATCTAATCATATAATGTTAAAACGAATTATAAATCAGGAAAACGGCTTAGTCATCGTTGAATATGTAAGTGATGATGACTATGAAAATACTGAAAATGGACCATGTCAACCTAGGAGGGTACTAGTCAGTACAGAAGCTGCAGAATTATTAGAAACGGCTGGTAAAGGTTCATTAGGTGTGTATTTATAGTGAAATCGCCTTTATTTTTGTTTGATATGTTTTTGAACGTCCACATCCGATTGTTTCACAGATGTCCGACTGAGAAAATTTGCTTCTGAGAAAAAGGAGTTGCAGGATGAAATTCGACATTTACGATTGGAATTAGAAGAGACTAGGAGTCGCGTAAGATCGGAAAGATCATCTGGCTCAGTATTAGGTTGATATTTACACATGTCTGTTTAGTTCAGTTGAATGGCATGTAATTGCCAGTGTAAAGACACATGAATCATGATATCATCTTACTTATATATCGATTAATATGTATCCCCGCTGCGACAGGTTGCTTATCAGATAATGATGATATTCAGCGTGAAGCAAATAAATTGTTGGCGGATTATAAATTCAAACTACAGAAAGCAGAACAGGATATGTCTACTTTGCAAGCGACCGTAGCTAGATTGGAAAGCCAAGTAATTCGTTACAAGTCAGCCGCAGAAGCATCTGAAAAAGCGGAGGACGAATTGAAAGTGGAAAAAAGAAAGTTGCAGAGAGAAGTACGGATAGATAAGATAACGATATATCGGAGAAAGATTAAAGAAGAAAGATTATAGGTACTCACGTTCACTCGATATGATTACTTTTAGGTAAGGGAAACACAAGGTCGTGTGGAAGAATTGGAAACGGCAAACTCTCATTTACAAAGGCGATTGGACAAACTTAAAAATGCAAAGTCGGCTCTTCTAAAGGAACTTTGACGGAGTGATGTTTGCAGAGATGTAGAATGAGTTTGTCATTTACTTATACCCCGAAGAGATGCCCGTGTGCCGATGTTGCCTCGATATTAATACTACTTAATACTTTGGATGTAGTTTACAAAGGCGAAGATTACGTATTACCGTTATAACACTTCACATTGTAGTGAATGTCGTTCGGATATAGAACCACAGGAAAATACTGTGGGGAAGTTCCCTACCTCTTACATCCACAAAGTCTTTGATACCAACTTTGTTACTCCTGCATTATATCCTTTAGCAGAACAACGAGAGACACTTTTTAATACATTTCACACGTTAAATTTTTCTACGAATTTATAGCAGTTGTATAGAATCGATTCAAAACTTCGAACTTTTATATAAGTAGCGAATGATCAAATAGCGTATTTGTTTCTGCCTCTCCTTTTCTTTCACTTTGTTTCTCTTGTTTTGCGGTGGATTCATGGAAATTATTTCACAAATTTCTAATATATATATATATATATATATACACATATATATGTATGTATATATATATGTGTGTGTGTGTATGTATATATATACACATATATATATATATATATATACATATATATATATAAAGCTTAAAAATATTTATATTACAATGAAAGTTAAATGCTTTTTACCGTATTAAAAATTAATGCGGCAGAGTATTTTAGTAGTTTCTTCCTTTACCTATCCCTGTGATAGAAACGTAATAAGAATTCCGTAACATAATAAACACATCTAGGATAAGCATAATATTATATTTAAATTTCTAGGCTAATATTGTAATTCCCATATATTAAATGAAATTACAGATTCTTAACTGAATTTTATATATACTGCTAATCAAATTGCCACACTTAATGTTTACTAAACATAGCATTTTATATCTAAAATTTTATGTCTTTGGAACTAATTCTTGTAACAAATTCGCGATACATTCGTTCAACGAACTGATGTGAAGTAAAGCAAAAGTAGATGTACAATAGTGTGGTCTTTGTAAATTTAAAATAAATTAAAACATGTTGTTGAGTATCTTTCGTGAATGTATATTAATTATGTTATATCCTTTATAATGCATGAAATAAAATCATCTACTGTTCTATGGTAATGAAATATCTGTTCAAATTTCCAGATCTGATAATTATAAGTATAATTAAGAAATTTGGGGTAAAAAACTAAAATAAATAAATAGGGGATATTACTTGATGTAATTAAATCATGCATTATAAAAATAATAAGATGATAAAAAACATGATTTTCACATATAAAATACGTGTTAAGTCCACATGGATACGTAACATTTATATTACATTTAAACTCTGATGTTTGATATATTTCTTAGAAATATATTTTATTTTATTATAAAACAAGTACTGTGCTTATCTTTGGAATAAAATTATTAAAATGTACGTAAAGCAACTGTCAGATATTTACAGTCTTTATCAGTCAAAAATTGTATGATTTGTATTAGAAGCTCCGATGGTAAGCCCTGAAGACTGGGATTTGTTAGCCTCAATGAATAAAATATATCTGTTCGCATAGGAGTGGCCATATCATTCTTAAACCTGGCAAATTTTGTGAAACATTTTAAGATTAATTATTTTAAAGTTACTTTTTTTAAAATAATACAACAAAGAATTGTATATATTTCTTATACCTATGTGATATGTTCTTCAGATTCCTATATCGATTACATAGTCTAGCCGTGTACGGATTCACATACATTAAAGTCTTTATTATCATGCTATAAATCTTCTTGTTTTTTATATATGGGTACATATTCAGGATTAATTTATCACCCATAGGTTTAACAATTAATTTTGATTGAACACCTGACCTAAGTAATACAAAACGTACTTCATATAGGCCTGAACTTTGGGATTTCCAATTACTTGGTACGTAGACTAATCTTGTATTCCAATATTTTGTTTTGCTATAAAAGACAAATAAAAAATATAAAAATCAGTAAGTAACAATAATCATACTATATTTTGCAAAAATTCATACCCTTTCTTTTCAAAATTTTCAAAGGAAGCCCATGATTCTGAAGACTTATCAGCAGAATCTAATTGCATAAAATAAACGGTAATTATTTTTAATATATTTTTAAAAAGTTTCCAGACTCACAGATAATGAAAACTGCGAGAACCGTCGAATATCTCTTACCAGAAGTGGGTGACACATAAAATCCAGATTCTGCTAAAAAAACGAGTAGCAAGGCGACAAGGTAATCATGGTGTGTAACATTTTTGTTGTTCAATTGTTCTAAGACCGCACGCAAGGATAACGAAAGCGTAGAAGATGTACTGTCTTCCGCTAATATCGGCTCAGATATCTTGACTATTCTATTCTGATTGCTTAACGTTTCCATTGTGCAAAATATGTACTGTGAAATATGAATTTACATAAAAATCTGCAAAACTGAAGTTAGCATCTTTTTGTCCGCAAGATATAACCTTTGCATACAATGCTACAATGAGGCGATCATTATGTTCATAGAGAGTCGTCGACACTTTCTTATTAGAATATTTTACAAAGTCGATTATTGCGATATGTAAAAATCCAAACGTAATAAAAGATTTATCTTATTCTTTTAAGTACATTAACTGAAAACTAAGCTCAAAGGCTATTTACAGTTATATGTTAGTTTTCAATAAAAAAAGCACAAATGTTAAATCATCTTCAGATGATATCTAACCAATGAAACGATTCTCTCTTATTAAGCCAGCGGCACACGGTGCTTGTTTTCGTGCTGGATTGCTTGCTGTATGAAAATACTGCGTTCTGATTGGTGCATTTCCATTCATCTTCGGAAATGTACCAATCAGAACGTAGTATTTTCATCCAGCAAGCAACCCAACACGAAAACAAGCACCGTATGCCGCTGGCTTTAGAAGGTAAGCATAATGATTGCGTTCACAAATTGACACAAGTCTACTGTTCATTAGACCTGTTATTTTAACGGGTCAATAATTATAAAATTATTACTATAACTATTTTTATATATTAAACATACAATTGGTCAGTTATCTTGTGATTTTTCTGTTTTTCTCCCTCTTTCACCCATACCAAGTTAAATACGTATTTTATTTTAATAGTGCAACTTGGTGCATCCATAAAAGACGTCTAATGAAAAATTGTGGTGCGTTCGTCATGCGTTTAGGAACGCAGACGTGGGACTATTCATGTTCGTCTTCGTGAACACGTAACACTGGATGTTTCTTCGGAAACATGGCTGACCATCGTGTTCTGCTGGTGCAATGAATTTTTGTGTACATTAAGGATAAAAAGCGTTCAAAATCACGAAAGCAAGCGTCATTTTGGCAAATCATGTCCTCGATTCATTTTGTCGTGCATCCCCTGCCAGGGACGGACGACCAACTCAACGACAGGTATGAAATCGTCATCCACTATTGGTTTTCCATTAACGCATTCTTTAGTATGTGTACTTCTATTCCGTCACGGCTTTTTCACTTCTTTTTGATATTTTCCATCGCATTACGTACTTTTAATTGTATTTTCATCTCTCGACTTATCGCGCTTATCTGCATGCACATTTATAATGAACACGCGTCTTACGCTTATCCACGTATTCGTAAGATGATATCACACTTTCTTCTTTAATGGCAACCTATAAACTCGACGCCAAGTGATCGTTTTATAATACGTGCATATCGAATAAGTTAGAGAAGGCGATACTTGTATAATGTCTGGTTTTCGCAAATCGTAAGATATATAACGATACGCATAGTAAACATATTGTCATCGTGAATATATCGGAATCGGGTCATTCTTGATAACATGATGTATTCTTAAGAATTCTGATTAATATCATTAGACAGATATACAAATATGTTTGTAAAGCTAACTAAATTGGTTAATAATTATTAAGGTCTTGTTATCGTAATATTTCATAAGTCTGTGTGTGTGAATAATACCGTAGTTATAATAAAAATATATTTTTATAAAAAATCAAATATATATATATATACACACATATACACATACACATACGCATTTATTTGTTTTATAGATATATAATTGCTAGTATAAATATTAGTATACATATAAATAATATAAAGAGTTTAATAATTATATCACTATAAAGTGATACTATATATGATCTATGTATATATATATATATATAATATAAATATATATATAATCACTAAATATGACAAATTGAATCATATTGCTTTAATAAAAATGCAAAGAGTGTGAATTGCATATTATTTATTTATTTATATATTCCAAATATGATTTGAGATGAAAGATGATTGACGAACAATACATATAACAATACATTAATATTGAAGTATTTATAATTACTTTGCAAAAACTTTAATAAAAATGTTTGATTTTAGTTCACTGAATATTTAAGAACATTTTAGTTTTATAATAAACAATCATGTAAATTTTATGTTAAATGATGAATCAGAAGTAAACAATAAATTTGAAGATTGTAGAAATAAATGTTATTATTTTAATTGCACTAAATAGGATAAGCTTTGGTTCGTATTCGTTAGAATTGAATGATAAGATTTATGACAAAGAAGAAACATTATAAATTTTTAATTTTAAGAGAATTATATAACGCTAAACTGTGTGATAAAAAAAATTATAATTAGAGCAAAATATAAATTAGACTTGTTTAAATATCTGTACAAATGTCTTTAGGTTGAGAGAAGTAGCAGATAAAATAAACAGATATGGATATGTAACACCACCAGCCTTTAATGGGTTGAAAGTGTCGATAAAACGTGTTGTAGTTGGACCAACGCATATTGCTCTTCTCACAGATGACAATAGGATTTGTAGAGTTGCATTTACTGTACTATCCGATAGATTGGACTTGAGTAAAAATGAACCTAACAGAAAGTAAGTAAAGAAAGAAAAAACCCATAGAAGATCAATACTCCACTGACGATAAATACATTGTTGTAGTACAAGTAAAAGCCATGTTGGAAACTCTAATTCCACACCAAATGGGAATGGAAGTAGTAGCAGTGGTAGCAGAGCAGGTATATCGCGTTCGCGCGCACGTATTATGCGTAGTTCAGCGATCCGTGGAGGTAGCAGCGGTGGAGGTAGCAGCGGTGGTGGTCGTATAGGACCGCCAGGAGTGATTATGGGAGGAGGAACTGGTAGTAGTTCGCGTCCTATCGCGTCTGTGCCAGCTCCTTTTGTACCAGAAGATCTTATAACACAAGCACAAGTGGTGTTGCAAGGAAAAAGTCGTAATCTAATCATCAGAGAATTACAGGTTTTACAAATATGTTTGTTATACAGCAATAAGTATGTACAATATAGTAATAAGGAAATAATAAGAAAAAGTAACAAAATAAGATTTAATGACATAATTTATTTTGTTGCTTTAATATTATAGCGTACAAATCTAGACGTAAACTTAGCAGTAAACAATCTTTTATCACGAGACGACGAAGAAGGTGATGATGCGGAAGATGCAGCTGATAGTTATGTTCCGGAAGATCTTATATCACTATTAGATGGCGGTTTTAGTAACGAACATTCGGTTATAATCGACGCTGATTCTATGTTCTCTGAGGATATGTTTGGTTATACTGGGATACGAAAGTAATCCTTAAAACATATTGCAATGAGTCTATATATACTTTTTTCACTTGCATATTCTAAAATAAAATCTTGTTATTGCTTTCAGTCGTGGAAGTTCATCACGTCGTTTGGTAAGCAACGATCGTGAAGGTGAGCGTTCATCTGACAGGGATAGAGATCGTGATAGTTTTAGCAGATGGCGAGATCGCCAATATTATGGCCCACGTCGTTGGTTGGAAACCGCTCTGAAAGATTCATGGGAGAAGGATTCAGGTATCTTGCACGATAATTTTCAAAATCCGAACATGAGCGGTTAAGCGTATAGAGTTATAACTCTTCGCTTGCATACCCCAGATAATAAGAAGAAAGAATTAGCCTCACAGAGCCCTCTATGGATATCCGAAGAATTGGAATGGTGGCAAGATCGAAGTAGCGATCCGGTGCCCCGTTTTGTACAAATTGCAACGCTTTACAGCGAACTAATCGCCGTTTCTGCATCGGGACAGCTGTACCAATGGAAGTGGACCGAATCGGAACCGTATAAGAATGTAGAGGTTCGTACAGGAGAACCTGATAGCTCGACTCCATCTTTGTCACATGTTTTTACATATTATATCTTTCACACATTAATTATATCTCTCGCTTGTTACAGAATCCAAACGTTCATCATCCGAAAACCATTCCTCTAGCATTGACAACGGAGAAGATAGTTAATATATCCGCTACGTCGATCCGATGTTCCGTTAGTACAGAGACTGGAAAGGTGGCGACCTGGCTCGATGAACTCTTAGGACATGTTGCCTCTCGTCTTGAACATCCAGCGCAAGCCTTTACCGAATTTACATTAGATAAAATTGTATCACTTCATACATGTGCTCTGTATACCGTCGCAAGACTTGAGAGTGGAACATTGTATTGGTGGTGAGTATTTTTTTCTAAACTCTAATTCGTACGTAAGTGTGCGCAGACCTAGTGGATCGAGATTGCTTAAGTATTATAATACTCTTTTTCAGGGGTGTTTTGCCGTTTGCGCAACGTAAAAAGCTCTGGGAGAAGTACAAAGCTAAATCACGCAAGCACAGACCATCTACCGTGCTGTCGAGCGACATCAGCTACGGAACACACGTATGCATGAAAAGTAGTCCAGTTTATCAACCGGGAGCTATCGGTAAGATTTCCTCAAGATGCTACACATTTTATAAATTCACACGCTAAATATAGCAATATCACATAAAATATTGCGTATAGATGTTATTTACCTGATTTTGTAAATATGTCTAATTTATTTTCCAGGATTCACAATAGCTAATGGCGTACCAAAAGTCGGGCAGTTACTTTCTGCAGCGTGGAACGTAGATGCCACATGTAGATTCAAGATACTACCTGCTGGTACACTTCTACCTAATACCAACACCGACAAACGCGAGTCCAATGGGAACGGTAGCACGGGAGTTGTGAACAAAGCGAATCACAAGGAAACTGCCGACAGGCTCGATATGCCACCTCCACCATCACCAGCTTCAAGCACTTGCAGCGATACTGGCAGCATTACAACTAGTCATAGTAAGATATTCGTTTGAATGGTCCTGAGAAGAAATGGACTCAACATGTTTTGTGCAACCGATGATGAAATAACGCATAATTTCAGAACGGCAGAAACGTATGGCACCTCGGAGCGAAGGTGAATCTGAGAGAAAAGACGAAGAGGATTGGCAATTAAAAGATGTTGTCTTCGTTGAAGATGTCAAGACTGTACCTATCGGTATGATTCTCTGCTTTATTTCTCTACTTGTTATCTCCTTTAAGATCAGTTTATATATCATGAGTGATACTAATGTATTTTACTGTATATAATAGGGAAAGTTATAAAAGTTGATGGTTGCTACGTAGCTGTCAAATTCTTCTCGAAGGATTTAAAAGAAAAAGATAAAGAAATCAAGGAAAAAGACTTTAGTACGTCAGATTTCAAAGATCTTACAGCGGAGGAACCAATGAAGCTATTAGCTGATTGTAGACTTATGCGTAAAGATGAGCTGCAGGTGATCAAGTCTACGTTAAATCCACGGGCTCCGGATTGTTTCCAAAGAACACCTAGAAGAGTCAACATCGTAGAAGGCTCGAATGATAGTCTATTAACCATATCGACCGATGGGCAAGGTAAGAATGTGAGCAATTATTTTCAAATAAAAGAGAGAAACAGCTTATCCTAATTGATCAAAATATATTCACAGGCATTCACGCTATATTGAAGAGCGGGAGCAAACTCAGTTACGTCGTGTACAATTTAAGTACAGGGAGATATGTCCAAGATTGTTACATACCGTCTGATATCTCATCGTTTTTAGGTTTACAACCTCAAAACATTAATCTCACAAGCGCAGGAGAGGTATGTTATGTCGATCACATGGTATTTACAAGTAAAACATTAGATAAAGCACTTGATACGTGTGTGTCTCGAAGAGAGCAGATTTTATCGATTTTTTTTTATTTCAGAATATCGAATGCTCTATGATCTTACGAGACGGAAATAATACTATTTATCCAATTGCGAAAGATTGCGCCGACGCTATTCGCGATCCGAACTGGTTGGACTTGGTTCCAGTAAATTGCATCGGTGCGGCAACCATACCGATTCCTATCTGTTCGAACAACTTGAAGAATCAGGTGGCGGTTATCGCTTTGGCATTTGACAATCTTCTGCTCATGCCGCGCATATTGCGATGTGATTACGAGAGTGTGAAGCAAGTGTTTTGTAATTTGGAGCAAGATCTAAGTAAGTACATCTAAGTAAGACATGTAGATGTATAATTCTGCCTGTCACGTCATATATGCTAAATTTCATAAAAGCACATATACTGAACTAAAATTGAACACGATTTTCTGTTTTACAGAAGGTAATTTGACGTATTCGCAAATACAAATGATACTGAAAGAACGTTGCGATGGCAACCGGAATATACTTCATGCTTGCGTAAACATGTGTTCACCAACTTCTAACAAAGAAACCGAACAAGGTAATGTATAGTTGTGTACTCGGCATATTAAAATCTTCAAGTAATCGTTAATATGACTAAGTAAAGTAATAGTAAGAATTGCATATCATTCTTCATTTTGATACTGTGTTAAATGACGAATTCGACGAATATTTTACATTTTATTCATTTGCCTGTAGTTATCGAACGTGAATTAGTGTCGAATACGGTAGACGGTGCCTCAGCACCCATCGAAGAACCAATCCCGACGTTAAGTTGGCCGCCCGAAGCGTTTGATAATACATCAGGAGAGGAAGACAGCTTGTTGAGTATTGGTGCTGCTAGTATCTCTATGATGAACAAGTCCGGTAAGTGAAATCAGTTTGCATATTGTGCACAATAGTAGCTTTGGTAGCTCTGGAAACTTAAACATGTGACAATGCTCGATGTATCATGTTGCATCTTACGTTAAGGTGTCGGAGCTGCATCCAGCAACACGTACATCATAGACTCTGTGGAGAGACGACACAATGCATTACTCATATTGAAATATATGTGTGAAAGTATTGTCTTAGCGCCACATATGAGGGAATTCCTAACAGCAAAGTACGACCACCATTTAGATAATCTCTCTGAAGCGAGGAATAAGATAATTAAATCTATATGGAATTAACGATTTTTCTCATATCGGTATTTGTGTAACTTTTTTTCCTCATAGGGATGCTCAAGGACAAACGCCACTTATGCTCGCCGTGTCTGTTCGCGCATATCACGCAGCCCTTATTTTATTGGACACTATACAAAGAGTGGGCAGAGACGCGAAAGACACCTCAGCCATGATACTGCCATCCGACGCCAGCCCGGATTTATCTCCGCTATTTGTTACTTGTTGCAATGACACGTGTAGTTTTACATGGACTGGAGCTGAACACATTAACCAGGTATCAAACTATATTATATGCGAACTGTATATAAAAAAAAAAGCTTTGTATGTGGGGATTTTACTGAATGAGATTTTCCTCTGCTTTAAGGACATTTTTGAGTGCAGAACTTGTGGCTTGACCGGCTCACTGTGCTGTTGCACCGAATGTGCTCGTGTCTGCCATAGAGGTCACGATTGTAAGCTCAAGAGAACTTCTCCCACAGCATATTGCGACTGTTGGGAGAAATGTAAGTGTCGCGCTCTTATTGCTGGCCATCAAGGTGCAAGATACGATCTTCTGTGTCGTCTTGTGAACAATACTGATCTTGCCACCAAGATTAACTCACGGTAAATGCTTGCGCTTTATAAATAACTCGCGATAAGCACGTTGTTCCTACGATTCTTCCTCAAGTGATATATTCGATTTTATGTTGTTTAGGGGAGAGAGTATTTTGTTATTCTTGGTGCAAACAGTTGGGAGACAATTAGTCGAACAACGTCAGTTTAGAGCAGCACCCAGACAACGATCGACTTCTGCTGGCCGCAAAGCACCGACTTCGGACGGTATGTCCTGTCCAGTATTGTTTGACTGCGCATATATACGAATATTTATGTATCAATATGTGTGTGTGTGTGTGTGTGATAATTTAAAAACTACAAGTAGCGTTTTCTTAAATGTGGGTAAAAAAAGTATGTGCGCCTGTCGCTTTTCTGGGATAAATTCCTTTGGAAGAAATACTGTGCCATAAAATATGTATCTCTAAAATCTCAAAATTTTATTTTATTTCATTTTATTTGTATTAAGATGTAGAACATTTAACATCTTTTTTTGTACAAGATTGTTCCAAAATTGTGTGTATATTGTATGCAAGTATTGTTTTATTTACTATGTGTGTTCTATATGAAATCGTCCGTAGGTTTAGGTGCAGATTCAGACATGCCAGATCATGATCTAGAACCTCCTCGATTTAGTCGCAAGGCTCTGGAAAGGCTGTTGAATGATTGGCCGGCTGTTCAGTGTATGATCATGTCAGGCGTTTCCGAGAACGGTACAGATCAGTTATTCGGCGATCAAGGGCAATTGTGTCGCCAGAGTGGTACTGCGTTACTAGACAAATTCACGCATTCCTTACTTGTTAAATGTAGTGCTGAAGTAAGTAGGATAGCATTCACAGCGGAATCAAGTGACATACACACGTGGTTTCTTTTTATATGTGGGTTACGTAAAACTGGCTAACAAATTTCGTATTATCATTAACAGATGCTTGACACACTGCTCGCCACTTTAATCAGAGAATTACAAGACGAATCTGTGCCTGGGCGGCAAGAAGAAGCAAATAATGTGGCTCGCCGATTTGTGAGATCCGTGGCGCGTATATTTGTTATCTTTACCATAGAAATGGCACCAAACACGACAAAGAGACGAAAGTAAAACTTTACACGTATTTCTAGTATTTTCATTTCAATGCTCTTTGATTTATTTAAGATACAAGTTGTATGTATACGTATAGACTTCAAATTTTTCGAAAAACGAAAATATAACTAATTTATTTACTTTAACATATCAATATGCAAAGTTACTAATTATCCAATTACATGTTGTAGTATCGAACATTTTTCTTTTTTTCTTTTTTCAGTACTAGTCAATCTTCGCAACCTTTAATGAAGTGTCGAAAAGTTTTTCAAGCTCTGATCAAACTAGCTGTAGAAGAGTTATGTGAAACAGCAGATTCACTGATAGCACCAGTCAGATTAGGCGTAGCGCGTCCAACTGCACCGTTCACCTTAACCAGTTCCGCTATCGAAGTAATCAATGGTTCCGAAGAATTGTTTTCTATAGAGCCTCTAATACCTCACAGTGGTATCAGCTCACAGACATTGGATGCAGCGTTGCAAACGCAACAAGGAAATAATAACATAACGATTGCAAGAGACGTTTCTGCTGTAGATGAAGCAGAAGGTGGAGAGGGTACGTAAGAAATTTGATAAAATCTCTTTCGATACACCGATTAAAAAATGGCGTGTGAGATGTGTTGCGAGTTTTCAAGCAGACAGTACCATTGATTATCCTGCAGAAGTACCGATGGATATGGATGGCGATATAAGTGAACATGAGGAATCGGGCGTCTCTGGAACTGCTGCTAGCCAGCCACTTGGCGAAGTCGATTCGAATGCCGGTGGTGTGGGTGAAGAGCAAGCCGGGGACGGTGAATCAGACACAGAATTGGACCTTTTAGCGGAAGCCGAAACCGAATCAGATTCAGATGACAATCATAGTAACCAAGATGCAGCGTCCGCGCAACGTAGTGTACAGACCGGTGCGACTGCCGGTTCTGACGGTGGAATGGGATCGATATTGTTGTTCCCTGAAGATGAATCCGGAGAATCGAGTCAACAGGAGGATGACGAGAGCGAAGCGGGAGAAACAGATGAGCAGGACAACGAGGAGTTCCAGATCGGTGACGAACAATTAGAGCGCAGAAGGTAAACTGTTTCGAATCTTAAATTGTGTCATTTCTTATGTTGTTATTACTTTTGTTATTAATACATGATAAAGACATGCGATTGTTGAGCAATCGTAACGAGAAAATATTCGAGGTGTTCAAAATGTGTGATACCCTGTCATTTCAGTGGATCGTCCGGTCATTTGCATCGTAATAACCTCGCACCTGTATCTATGCAATGGGCGATACGCAATCGTGAATTAAGTACGCGCACAGCGGGATTACGGGTGACAGGTGGAAGTAATCTGGTTTTTATCGACCCTACATCTTTAAGACGTACCACGACGACGTCGGCCGTCGCAACCGCGCAAGAACCTATAACTATGGGGACTACCGCTAGTTGCCTGGCGCGAGCATTTGGTATCGTTATCCGACAGATCGCCGATCTGTTGGTCATGATGCAAGATTATAAAAATCTAGCGCCCACCTTGCCGCGATTGATGGAGATTTCTTTCCAGGACGCTCTAAGTTTACAGGTGTGCAGATGTACTCTACTGTTGATTCTGTCGAAGTTATATCTATATACTTATAGTCGGAGCGTAAAAATATATTTCTGCTATATAGACATATCTAGAAGCGCATTTGAAGCCCACTTGGGATTGGTTACTCACGGTGATGGACGCTACGGAGGCGCAATTGCGATTCGGAGTATCTCTGACACGCAGTGCGGACCCGACTCACCCAGAACACCCTCTGAATAACGCTCCGTCTCTGTCCGGTGGTAACTTTACTGGTCTTTTGAACACAGCCGCGCTCTCGCTGACTCTTCAAGGAAATACAGGTCGGAATCCTCGCAGTGGTATCGCTACGAGCTCGAATATCTCCACTCCCCAAGCTTCAACACGACTCACCGTTGGTTTTGCAGGCGTTGGCGAGCCTCCAAGAAGCAATAGGGAACGCGAAGGTTTGCGTCGTGAACTATTATTAAAGAGTACTCACAAGTAATCTGATATTTCAAAATGAAATATTGAATGAAAAGTCTATAGATAAAATTTCGATTTTGTAGTTAGTGGTATAACAAATCGAATATACCTCATACTTACATACTAAGAAAATACTATTTATATGCTACAACATTTAAGTAAATACTGATAAGTCTTTCAAACACTTTATTACTTATGGGTACGACTGATATTTATTTGAAACTTTTTTACAGTATTTTAATACTAATTACGCTCTTGTTATTGTCTGTCAAAGTGCGTTGTTTTGATGATTACACGTGTTATCCGATAAAATATATGCAGGCTCCACATGCAGTCTCGATCAGCTGAGAAGATTAACATTGTAACGTGTTTCAGGTGGTGACGCACACTCGGCGAGACGTGAATTCTTATCATATTGTCTATCTTTAATGCGTGCTCACAACAGTGAACATAGAGACAGTTTACCTGTATTAGACGTCTCCGCTTTGAGACATGTCGCATATGTGTTCGATGCACTCGTGTATTACATGCGTTCTCTCTCAGAACCGCTGACTTCCAGAAGAGAAGCTCAAAAGGAATCGCCCAGCTATTCATGTTGGAATGATCAGGTCAGTTAAGTTCTCTTTCTCCGCATCTACAACTGGCATTTTACAGATATAGGATGCTAATTGTGTAATTGCTGTGATGTTGCTTCAGGATGAAAATGATAATGACGAAGGTGAGGAGTATAATTCGCCAGCACCGACTCCCATGGAAACGGATTCTGTGGACTATCCGGACTTGCTACAAGTGCCCATGTGCGGGTCTGGAAATCATGGCAATGCCACGCCGAAAGGGAGAAAGCATCCTTTCCTGCAAAGATCAGATTCCACTTTGAGCCTTGGTTGCCTGCCACTAGATTCATTCGACACTGTCATGAGTGAAGCGTTGCCATTAGCTGATCAACCACATTTATTACAGCCACATTCAAGGCGCGAAGATCTCTTTGGTATCCCGAGACAATCGCCTTGTTCTCATGCAGGTGGATCTAATCAACATCCTTTGGAAGGTTTACCCACAAGATTAGGTCTTTCCGCACGTAGTGCCGACAGTCAGAACGTCTTGGCTACTCCAACGTTTAGTCAAATTGTACAAGGACCACTTTCTAATTCTTTAGAATCGAGAAGGAACTCTGTCTCAGCTGGCGATTCAAACTCCGTCAAATATGCGGTAACATTCTTGCACCTGATAACATCAAAATCTCTGCACTTGTCCTCTGTGGACCATTGCGCCATATTCTCCGAGTGACGTGTCGAAGAAATTCGGATCGATCAATTCGTGTGTCTTATTTCAGGACAAATTGAAGTCATGCGGTCATGCTAACGAAGGTCACTCATCGCTCGTAGCAGAACAAATTGATAGAGCGCCGATTATAGTGTCCACGAATAATCAAGGTGATGCAGCTAGCGCCAAAGGCAAAGACATATGCAAAACCAACAGAAGCGTCATAGTTCGAGCTGGAGCTGCACCGGTAAGCATCATGATTGTCCCATACGTGTCCCATCGCTTATGAGCATCCGATGTCTACAGTTTCGCGTATACCTTCTCTACAGGAATCGAGCACAAATAAAGCTGGCGCGCCTGAAATACTTGTGGTACCGACTGTTGAGACTCAAAACGTGTCCGAGGAAGTGGCTGCAACGAGCCACGAGATATCTGCTCATGAGACTGTGGAGACAAGTCCAGTAGAATCTGCCAGAGCTGTATCATCCATTGGGACTAACATTTCGCACAACATTTTGCTAGGACGATGGCGATTGTCGTTGGATTTATTCGGACGCGTTTTCATGGAAGATGTAGGTCTAGAAGCTGGATCCGTAGTGTCCGAATTAGGAGGATTCCCCGTGAAAGAAGTCAAGTTCCGCAGAGAGATGGAGAAACTTAGGAACTCGCAGCAAAAGGATATCACCTTGTCTAAGGTAATATGATGGCATATTGAACACACGCATACGCACACATTTATTGTGAGATTGAGTGTAAATTTTTATTCTGTGTAATTATTGTCTTATTGTTCCACATGTGTTTTCGACAGGTGGAGCGCGATAGAACGCAGTTATTGGTACAGACAATGAAAGAATTGAATACACAATATAACATATACAACAGAAGAGCCACAAACACTCCACCTCTGGCAGTGAACAGAGTTAAAGTTACCTTCAAGGATGAACCGGGTGAAGGATCCGGTGTGACTCGAAGCTTCTACACCGCAATTGCCGAGGTACGTAAGTCAAGTACGAGCGCGAGGTGTAAGATTAATAAGAGTCGTCGTGAAATATTTTTTACGCCAATTATTGCTACTTTTAGGCATTGCTTGCAAACGAAAAACTTCCTAATCTCGAGGCAGCGCAAGTGGGAAATAAATACACGCAATTCAATGTACTGCAAAAATTGAAGAACAGGGATCGCGACCGTGATCTCAGGCGGCAGGTGGGTGAAATGTAGTGTGTTATTGAATCGATGACGCAGGTTTCATTATCGTGATTTTACTACGTTTATTACTACGATATTTTTCTTCTTTTTTTTTTCTGAAGAATACACGCTCGTCTGGGAAATGTCGTGAGTCACGTCGAGCCTTGTCTTTCGACGCGCGTTCTTTCCACCCGTCGAGCGCGATCGAAGGGAACAACAGCTCGGGATCTGGCAGTTCATCGTCCAACGCTCATCCCATGCCAGCGATCAACCACGCTAACAATGACCATTTGTCCGTGCATCAACAACAACTTGGGGAGAGATTGTATCCTAAGGTTTTACTCCACAAACTTTTATAAAACATTTTATTTATTTTATTTTCTCGGTAAAGAGTGAAATCTTAATCTCCTTTAGAGATTTTATTTATAGTTATGATTCGCTTGATACAGGTGCACGCCTTACGACCAGCAGTGGCTGAGAAAATAACTGGCATGTTGCTGGAATTATCACCGGCACAATTGCTGATGTTGCTGGCTTCGGAGGACGCTCTACGACAGAAAGTGGAAGAAGCATTCGAGTTGATTCACAGTCACAATCAGGATTTGACCAGCGAAGCGTTGCTGGATCTCGATGTGTTTAGCTTGACCGAAAGATGCGCCGCAAAGAAGAAAATGGAGAATAGCATTTTAGACGATACGGAGGATAACGCACCACTTTTCTATTCTCCTGGCAAACGTGGTTTTTATACACCAAGACAAGGCAAGGGCAGTTACGAGCGGTTAAATGCCTTCAGAAATGTAGGCAGGTGAGTTTGGGCCGGATTCTGCTGTGATCTCGACGATATTCTTCTCGTCATGTGTATGATCTCTCACAAAATATCTCTTTTTTTTCTACCTTTCAGACTCATAGGATTGTGTCTTTTGCAAAATGAGCTGTGCCCGCTATTTTTGAATCGTCATGTAATTAAATATATCCTAGGGAGGCCTATACGTTTCCACGATCTTGCATTTTTCGACTCTGTAATTTACGAAAGCTTGAGACAACTGGTCATCGATGCCGAAACGAAAGACAGCAACAGTTTATTCTCTGCGTTGGATCTTATATTCAGGTTTTAACTTGTGCTCTTCTCTCTTCTGCCACACACACACTTTTTTTTTTTAAAGATCATATTTTTTCGTGTTCGTGAAAGAGACTCACCAAACGAACATCATTTTCAGTATTGATTTGTGTCCCGAAGAAGGAGGCGGCTCAATCGAACTTATACCTAGTGGTCGTGATGTGGAAGTAACCGCGAACAATGTATACGATTATGTACGCAAGTACGCTGAAGTTCGTATGATCAAGGTGCAGGAGAAAGCCTTGCACGCAATGCGTGAAGGGGTCTTCGATGTTCTGCCTGACGGTGCGCTCGATGGATTAACTTCTGAGGACTTGCGTCTTCTTTTAAACGGAGTCGGTGACATCAACGTAACGGTTCTAATATCATATACGTCATTTAACGATGAGTCCGGGGAATCGACAGAGAGATTAGTGAAATTTAAACGGTGGTTGTGGTCGATTGTTGAGAAAATGTCTCACGTGGAAAGGCAAGACTTGGTAAGAAATTCCCAAACAGACCGTTAGCCGCTCGCGAATGTGTCGCACTCATATCGCATTATATTTATTACATCGCAGGTATATTTTTGGACTGGGTCCCCAGCGTTACCAGCGAGCGAGGATGGTTTTCAGCCGATGCCTAGCGTAACTATTCGGCCAGCCGACGATGTGCACCTACCAACCGCGAACACATGTATCTCTCGACTATACGTTCCATTGTACAGCTCTCGTCATGTTTTACGACATAAACTACTTCTCGCTATCAAAACAAAGAACTTCGGATTTGTATGAATTTGTCTTGTGACTGTTTGTGAGTAACAGTTCCAAAAAAGTCACATTATCGATAATTACATAAGACAAAGGTTAAATGCTGTTATTTTTTTCCTTCCTTTAGAAAAAAAATTTATAACATTTATAAATTTATAAGGTATGATTATAAATTATAATTTTTGTTGTTTCAAAAAGCGGTCTTCATCCTAGTAAGGCTTTATATTAAAGTGTCATACTTAGTCTTTATAGCAACTGAATAAAATTTTCTCTAAAACCATATAGTGTGTCGTCGTGTGCTTTACTTACCAATCGGTATCTTTCGGTACTTCACACACACATGCTCTATCCAAATAATGATTCAATAGTACTGCATAACAAACTTCTCACATTTTAATTATATCTTCATATAATCTTTATATATATATCTTCATAAAGATATATTGCAACCTCACACCAAGAATTTTGACAATTGCGATACAATTAAAAATCTTCTTTTTTATTAGGCGTTTTTAAAATGTAACATAAGATGTTGACAGGGAATTGCAGGTTTTTTGATGCACACCAATAGTAAGTCTCTTGGATATCGGCTTGATGATTACAATATATATGTATATATATATATATGTATATATAACTTTAAAAACCAGGCTACAACACGAATATCAGATTATAAAATATTAGATTTGATATTCAAAAGTGACAAATGTTAGCAAAATTTACCACCAATATCTATTTTAATCAACAGAACAGGGCTGGAAAATGAATAGAAATTAAAACATCGTATGATATAAGCAATACTGTAAAAGTTGTTAAATATTTACCTTCGTTCGACTTGCCAATTACACTATATTCGATCAAATTTGTAAGTTAAATTAGCTAAACATTAAAACAACAGGAAAAGTAATCTAGGAATGTTAAGCTGCCTATTCCACCGTACTGTTACTTCTTTTTAACATGTTGGGATTCGTGTTTCTAATGTAAAATAATGCCAACTCTGTCACTAACGCTGCTTAGTTTTGGCATGCACTCATATATGTCTCAGTTTCTGTCTAGAATCGTAACAATGTACATGTCCAAAATGATATTTTTTACCATTTTGAAAGAAACTTCAAATTTACAGCTTTAAATATATTTCCTAAAAAGTAAACTGAAATAGTAAAAAATAATTCATTATCTTTAATTTACTTAAAAAAACAAAAAAAATGTCTAATGCTAATATATATTTATATATAATAAATCTCATTATTTTTATAAATTTCTAAAAATCGTAAAGTTATATACAATAATTATATTATCCATTATTTACTTGACAAAGTATCGATAGAAACTTATGTACAATGGATACCTATTAACCACTTCCTGAACTGTTTTGGGGTAATTTTGCTGTCGATTGACTCAATTGAGCCAGAGTTTCTGGAGTTGCGTGTGCTTTTAATAGTGAATTTTCTGCTTCCAATTGATTGATACGATCCATTAGTTCTGCTATTTTTTCTTTCAGTACCTCGACTTCTTCTCGTACCGCAAACATTAAATGACTTTTAACCAGATCCTAGAAAAGACGTACAGTTTATTCTAACATCGTCATTCGTCGAGTTAACACGCAGTTAACTGGCTTCATTAAAGTAACATCTCACCATAGCCTGCTCGATCTTGTTATCAATCGCTACAGCGCTTGTCCCCGACATACTGCAATACAGACTCACTCATCAAATTTATTCATATGTACAAAACAGAGAAATAAACAGAAGCAAAATTATAGAAATTTAAAAGAAAAGATGCGAAATTTGAAAAGATACATATAGTGTGTATCGTTATTATCGTTATCGCCATCATCATCATCGTCGTCATTATCATCATCATCATCATTATCATCATCATCATCATCGTCGTCGTCGTCGTCGTTGTTGTCATCATTATCAACGTGATACAAGAATATCTCTCTCTGAACTATTCACTCCCTTTTATCTTTATTGTCTCGGTACGTTCATAGATGGGCTGAATTAATTGATTTGTAAACGGTACCTTTCGTTATCTTCGAGGGCACGATGCTCGTCGCTGCCTTGCGTCACTTCGGCCAACGACTCCAGCAGAGTCGTATCGGCAGACTGAGCAGCGGTAGCGTTGGCGACGATTCCCGCGATGGACTCTTGCTCCGGATCGGACTGGTGAAACGCGATGTTGCCTTGCTGCAGTCCGCCGACGACGTTCTGGCAGCCCGCGGCGGTCACCTGCGTGATCTGCACCGGGGCGGTGCTATTGGACGTCTGCGGCTGCATTTGCGTCGAGGGTATCACCTGCGACTGCACCGGCGCACCGGAAGGGTGAATCGTCGACGAAGTCGGCTGCGCCCCCGTCTGAGGAACCTTGTGAATATTCTGCATGCCCTGCATCCCTTGTATGGCAGTTAGTGGCTCGGAGATTTGCGTAATCTGCTTCTGCGTCTGCAAAGGTTGCTGCTGGCAGGCGGTGTCGGTCTGATGCTGCGTGACGAGGATGTTGGGTGCCTGGGAGGCCGGCGCTTGGGTGCTCTGCTGAACCGTCGGCTGGCAGACATTCTGCACCGGCATGGATTGATTCTGCGTGCTCACCGTCACGTACGCCTCCTCTTTGGCATGAGCGATGCTCTGCTGCGGCGTCACATTGCTATTACTAGTCTGCGTAATAATAGGAATAGAACCCTGGGGCATGCTCTGCGGCTGCCCGAGACTGTTGGGATGGGTGGGCTGCAAGTTAGAGGGCAATGTGGATCCTTGAGCCCCCTGCGGCGGTTGCTGCTGCGGCGGTTGTTGAGCGGCTATCGGCTGGGTCTGCGACTGAAAGTATTGCGGGATTTGCGTAGGTGGTGGCTGCACTTTAGCCTGGGCTTGAACCTGCGTGGGATTATGCTGTACATTGGGGGGTAACGAGTTGTTGACCGCGTAGTTTGCATTCGGCACCGACGTCGGATTGTTCGGCACAGTAATGGACGTATGCACTGTGTCCGGGTGAGACGTCGTCACTTGTCCATTGCTATCGATACTAATCCCTTTATCGTCAGACACTACGGATTGCTTCGCAGCCTCCGGTATAACGATTCCGCTGTCGGTCACCCCGTAAGATATGCACACCTCGTTCGGATCGGACACTTTGGGAGTCCCGATGGCCGTCGGCTGATTAACGGACGTATGATCCAGGTAATCCATGCAAGTCCATCGTCCCCTCTTGAACGGCTCCGTACTCTCGATTTTCACCACTTTGAATCGCTCGTTCCTACCGTGCGAGTGCACCTCCCGCAGGTCGGCGTCTTGCTTCACGTTACTCGACAGCAAGTTGATTATATTGTTGTCAGTAACCGACGTAATGTCCAGAGTATTGATATTGCTATCGTTCACCGAATTACTAACGTTGCTGCCCTCGGACGGCACGATGGCCAAGCCGTACTGCGAGCTGGTGGGAATCACCGGAGCGGTGCTGAGCGCGGCGTTACTCGTATTGAAGAACACGTCCTCCTTGGAGAACGTGTCCTCGGAATAGCTGGGGGTCTCGATGTCGATGTCGGTGATGCGCGAGTGCTCCACGGAATTGTCCTCCGTGTGCGACTCGTCCAGGTCGTCGTTGGAATCCTCACCGGCGTCATTGCTCATGCGGCAGCCTACGGTGACGCTGGTTATCTGGAAAGACGACGTCTTCTTTCGATTGCACTGGCTGCCAGCCGTCACGTTGCTCGGTGCGATCAGGCTAACCGGCTGGTGCAACTTGTCTAACTCGCCCAGACGGATCGTCTCAGTGGTCGTACGATGCACTGGATTCGATATCTTCCTACTACCATCCGACAGCTTGTGCGATTTTCTGTGCACATTATCTGCCATTATTATAGGAACTTAACATCTGAGAGACACGATCGTGGCATCCGTCCTCTCGCATATTAGAACTGACATTGCTGCCGTTGCCGATATTGTTGTTACCACTGCTGCTGCTACTGCTATTGCTACTGTTACTGTTACTGCTACTGCTGCTGCTGCTGCTGCTGCTACTGCTGCTGCTGCTGCTGTTGCTGAACACGTTGCTGGGCTACTTGCTGGGTCCGCTCGTATTCTTTATACTCGCATGTTTTACAGTTCGCGCGCGCGTGCAATCCCACGCGGAACCCTCTCCTCTGTTTTCTCCACTCCCTCTCTCAACACCACTGCCGTTCCTGGTAATCGACCGAGCGCGCTCTGACTTCTGCCGAGAATACGGGATTAACACGGCTCAAAGGCATATTCCGAAGGGCTCTCTGTTGGATGTTGACAGTTCACCATTACATTAATTTCACGGGGAAGGAGTGCGTTCGCTCGAGCACCGTCTCCGTTTCACGCACGAAACTAGCCTCGCTCAACGTTGTCCTACGCAGCTCGCACGCTTTTACTGCGTCGTTACGTCCAATTCTTCCTTCCTTCGGGGATAATCACGCCTCGTTTAATCTCATCCGTTTACATTACTGTCTCAAGACGCGAGGCCCATTATCCGTATCCTTTTTATGCTCTGTATAGTAAGTGGGCAGTTTAAAAATGGCTGCCGATTCATTCGCAAAATTGCCACGAATTGTTTCTAGAGCGACCGCCGCCGCACGGCTTACGAGACTCGTTCGAGTGTTGTTCTCATTGGCGCGAAACACTCACAATGGCCACGTTCAGTAGAACAAAATGATCAGTGAGCGCTTAGTGATTATTGTCTGTGATTGGAGCATTCTTTCAGATTCTTAATAGACCCAGAAGTATTTACCAATCAGGAGCGAGAATCACTAAACGCTCACTGATCACTTTGACTGCGTTCCGATATTTACTGTCAGTACTGAAAATCTATAGTATACGTGACACAAACTATATATTTTCAGTACTGGCAGTGAATATCGGAACTCAGCCTTTGTTCTGCTAAACGCAGCCATTGGCCGCGTTCAGTAGAACAAAGTGATCAGAGAGCGCTTAGTGATTATTGTCTGTGATTGGAGCATTCTTTTAGATTCTTCATAGACCCAGAAGTATTTACCAATCAGGAGCGAGATTCAGTGAAAAATCTAGCAATGTTGTCTAACTGTTGAGTCTGCTGAATGCAACCATTGGCACGTTTCTAAAGCCAACGGCACACGGTGCTTGTTTTCGTGCTGGATTGCATGCTGGATAAAAATATTGCGTTCTGATTGGTATATTTCCGAAGATGTATGGAAATGCACCAATCAGAACACAGTATTTTCATTCAGCAAGCAATCCAGCACGAAAACAAGCACCGTGTGCCGCTGGTTTTAAGGCTGCGTTCTGATATTTACTGTCAGCACTGAAAATCTATAATATACGTAACACAAACTATGTATTTTCAGTACTGGTAGTGAAAGGCCGCGTTCAGTAGAACAAAGTGATCAGAGAGCGCTTAGTGATTATTGTCTGTGATTGAAGCATTCTTTTAGATTCTTCATAGACCCAGAAGTATTTACCAATCAGGAGCGAGATTCAGTGGAAAATCTAGTAATGTTGTCCAACTGTTGAGTCTGCTGAATGCAGCCAATGGTTGCGTTCAGAAAACAAAGCGCTCACTGAGCGCTTAGTAACTATTGGTCCTTACTGTTAGATCCTTACATTCAGACCAATAACATTGACGAATTAAGCCAGCGGCACACGGTGCTTGTTTTCGTGCTGGATTGCTTACTGGATGAAAATATTGCGTTCTGCTTGGTACATTTCCGAAAATGGATGGAAATGTACCAATCAGACCGCAGTATTTTCATCCAGCAAGCAATCCAGCACAAAAACAAGCACCGTGTGCCGCTGGCTTTACTCAACCGTTGTGTAACCGTTGTGTAATTGTTGTGTTTTCTGAACGCAGCCATTGGCTGCGTTCAGAAAACACAACGGTTACACAACGGTTGAGTAATTCGTCAACGTTATTGGTCTGAATGTAAGGATTTAACAGAAAGGACCAATAGTTACTAAGCGCTCAGTGAGCGCTTCGTTTTCTGAACGCAACCAATATCGGAAGCCTAAATTTCGTGAATCGTGTCCAGTTGCTATTGGACAATAGATGCGATTCGAATGCATCTCGCTGCATCATCTATAAACATTTTTAATCTATGTTCGCACACATGTTTACCATGTGGTGGAATATGGCGATGTGCTTAAATTTGACGTTACCGGGTCGATGCGGATATACGTCTATTTGAGAATACGAAAAGACACAAATTGTCACAACCCATTTTTTCCCATCGGATATATAATTCTAGCATTTACCCTCAAATATCTCATCAATAATTTCAATTGCGAGAAATTGAAACGAAAATAATGTTTAGCACAGGAAGGAATTGTTTCAAACAAATCGTGAGAAGCGCTAAAAGTTTACATGTACAAAAATCCAAGGCCCAAAAGATTAAACACAAAACTTTACCAAGTTAGGAAATACTTATGTAAAATGATATACATGTGTCAGTAAATCACTGATACGCTATTTACGTTAAATCTATGTTTGCAGTTTTTCAATATCCAATAAGTCAAGAAGGTGAACACAGGGTATATGTATGGGGTCTTGCTCACCATGGTGCTCTTGGAGATGCATCAATTTTGAGTGAAAAGAAAATTTCACATACCAAAAGACCAAAGAGACTGACCTTTGCTGAGAAGAATAAAGTAGTGGATATTGCTTGTGGATATGGTTTCACAGTTTATGCTGTGCATTCCTCGGACAAAAATATTATTTATGGTACTGGTATAAATACAGATTCCCAACTTGGTAAGTAAATGGTTTTTTGCTACTCTTCTGTTCATTAAAACTGAAGAAAATATATAAGCACTGTTGTTTCCCTACAATAGGTTTCAGTACAACGAATAACAAATTTCCTAACAACTTGGTATTTCTCCCAAGACCAATAAATCTACCGCTCCAAGATGATAAGACAAAAGTTCTAGGCATGGCTGCAGGAAGAGCACATTTGTTAATACTGACCACAGAAGGCTTGTTCACCTTGGGTAATAATTCATATGGCCAATGCGGTAGACCAATTATAATGAGTGAAAATTATGAGAAAAGTCTGACTATCCATCATATACCTAATATTAATGGACGAAAGATTACTGCAGTGACAGCTGGTCAAGATCATAGGTATAGCAATTTTGGTTATAATGTTAACAGCTATGTCAATTTTTCTTATTAATATTCTTATTATAATAGCATGCTCTTGACAGAGACAGGTGAGGTATATACATTTGGTTGGGGTGCAGATGGACAAACAGGCCTAGCACATTATCGAAATGAATATCAACCAAGTTTAGTTAAAGGTGACTTGGCAGGACAGCGCATAATAAAAGTTGCCTGTGTTGCTGACTGTGTATTAGCTCTCAGTGGTATGTGAAAAATATACCATTACAAAAATCATACAACTGTAGCAAGTAATCAAAATATAAAATACCATTTGCTTTAGACAAAGGAAAAGTATTTGGATGGGGTAATTCAGAATATGGACAGTTATCAACTAAAGACATCAATCACCAAATAAATATTGCCACAGAATTAGATATGTTTCAAGATTTAGGACATATCGTAGATATTGCAGCAGGTGGATGTTTCTGCATGGTCTTAAATGGTAAAGATTAGTGTGTACTTTGATATTATTGCATAATTTAAATTTCTAAAATAGATTTAAAACCTACTATACGACTGCATGATAGATGCTGGTAATGTCTATGTTTGGGGATATGGTATACTAGGCTTTGGACCTGAAGTAGAAAAAATATCAAAACCAAAACAGATTCCATCCACATTATTCGGCAAAAATATATATAATCGTGATGTTAAGGTAATTAAAACAGGTCAATGTAATCTTAACAAATTTAAAATTATTTTTTATATATATATTTAATTTACAAACTTACCTTTTGTGTGTAGGTAACAAACATAAATTGTGGGATTAATCAATTGGCAGCATTAACCAACTCAGGAGATTTATTTATGTGGGGAGTTAATAAGTTTGGATGTTTGGGATTAGGACACATAAAAGATCAGTTTTTTCCATTAAGGGTAACTATTATACTTTATATACATACTTTATATATTATAAAAATAGAATATAAATTATAAATTAACAATATGGAAGTTTTATGTGCAATGATTTAATTTTCTATTAACAGGTTTCAGTAGGAGCTCAAGTGAAGAAGGTTGCCTGTGGGATAGATCATACAGTGGCTCTGTGTAAACCTTTTATTTAAAACATCTTTTGCTTACAACACTTTACATATATATATATATAATATTAATTAATATTACATATGTATATTAAATGTGTATTTATTTATTTAAAAAAGTTTACACAGTATTTTTCTGTCTTAATCTTAACATTTGTATATAAAAGTAACATAATGCCTAAAAAATGTTGTATGATGCTACGTTATTTCTTCTAAAAATGTATTAATATGCATTATATACAACTGGTACCTAATTCTGATTTAATTCTACTGAAATGTGTCGATGATTTTGAATTTGCTAGTAAAAATAATCTATATAACACTTTCTATATAACACTAATCTATATAACACTTTCGTATCGCACATTACAAAAATACCAATTATGAAGAATAGAAATCTATCAAATAAATTATGGTCGTAATTAGAAGGACGATATTAAACAAATTTATATTTGCACTACTCGTGCAAATCAAATTCTCATAATGAACTTTGTATTTTATCATGTGAGGAAATCTGCAAAACAGTATGTCTGCAAAGTAAATACAAACGATATATTAAGAAACATAAAAAGAAAGAAAATTACGTAATTAACTAGTATTCATTTGATGTAAAAATATGAACGTTTAAAAAAAGATACTTGTTAAAATTGATAATTGCAGATTTAAAATTAATTACTTGGATTTGAATTAATCACAACTTACCTGTGCATTCATAGGGTTCGGCTGAAGAATTGGCAATTATCGACATATAGAACGGTTGACAAGAGTGTATGTACTGAGCTTCATTACAGGAAAATGAAACTGTAAACGCCTTATCAGATATTAGTGTACATTGTACATTCTCACCTTCTGGAGAATCAACATTCATAGGTTGTCGTGATGTGCATACTTTTAGTATACCCCAAACAGATGGTTCGATCTGAAATATATTTATAGTTTGTACTCACAAGACATTTAAGTATTAATTATATAAAATATCTTGATTACAACATAAATTATATAAATAATCTTAATTATATATAGAAAAGATTCTTACTTTTATTGTTGAATAATGTGACGAATCGCTAGAATAGAAATAATTGGGATGCAATCTGTAATAAATAACCGTATTTGGTTCAATATAACCGTCAAATGAATTGGTAGCTCCGGCGGGAGAATAATTGGCTCCGCATTCTGTATTGATCAAACGCTGAGGAACTATATAATATAATAAATTGCATTAAACATAGTAGAACACACAAAAGAATAATATGAGACTACATGATGAATTATTTCAGACTTACCTTGTCTTATTCTTGTAATTAATTGAAGGACTGTCTGTAAAGCTCCGTCTTGATTTTCGCTTATAGCGGCAGAAAACAAGTCAGTTGTTATATCATTTACATAATCTGACCATCTCTCTTTTGGGCCGTAAGTTAATACAAGTATTGTAGCATCTGCAATAATATAATTATGAGATTTAATTGATATGTTAAAAAATAGCAATAACTTGGAAGAATATAGTGTAATGTCTTTAGAATCGATAATAACTTCAATATATAATTCAGATTCTCTATAATGAACAAATTAAGTATTACCTGGAACTTGCTCTCGCATCCTGTTTAATTGTTGTTTACAATATTCCTTGTCTGGGTCAGGAACAGATGATGTATATGGAATAATTAAAATTATATCGGACTTTCCATTTCCAAGACCGCTACGTTCATTATTTAATTTTATCGTCTGGATAGATTCCAATTTGTCGAGTGATTTAGCAAGGTCAAAACCAGCTGAAGAACTGGTAACTGAAGAAAGATAAGATGATTCCTAATTAATATAACTATCGTCATTTGTAACAATATAAATTTAATGTGTAATTTTATATATATTTGAAGTATCTATACATACCGTTTTCATAATTTGTTATATTATAATAACTAAAATCTAAAATATTGTTGGTAATATTCATCATAATATTACCATTATTACCATTGATGATGGTAAACTGACTGTTATACTGATTTATTTTCATATTGTCCAGCAGATTTCTAATGAGAGAAAAATATCTCTTGTACTTCTTTATATTAGTGTCATAACTCATCAGGACACACAAGATGTTTTTCTGTATATACGTTATACTTACGCAATGATTGGTTGTATCAAATTGAAAGGCCACATTGTATCGAGAATAATTGTCAAATCAGCAGAGATTTGAACAGTATCTTTAAAATCACCTGTTTCCGTATCTTTACATGATAAATCACTATGCATTGAAGGAACTAAAATTATAGTCCTAATTTAAGTGTCATTGCAACGAAATATTTAATTGAGGAGAAGAAGTAGATACTAATACTCACTGGCATTCGTAGATAGCTCATTCGCTGCTATCTTCGCAAAATCTTCTATCACATTGTCGTCCATTGTAGCTGTTTGTAAATCTTGTTTTAACACCAAGGAAGCACTATATGACTACAAAATAAAATACTTAAACGCAAATTCATGATACCAAAATATAAGCATATAATATAGATTTGCAGAAGTTTTACAACTTTTGGATCTCTGACGTTATTTTCCGCTTTTATTATTGTTGTAGGCAAAATTTAACTTATTTTTATAACAGATAATATAGTTTAGATAACATCATATCACATCATACCTGCATAGCCATCGTCTCAGATGCGTTAGATGAAAGTGCTGTAAATAATGATCCTCGATTGCACGCTCTAATTGAATGATCAAATAAACCGTGAGCACTGTAATACATGTCCAAAATTTGCGATAATTTTAAAGTGGGTATTTTCGAGTACAAAAATTCGACCTCATTAGCAAGGATTAATCCGTCGAGACCTCCTCTGATCTCCGCTGTTGTAAATTCTAACGAATCGTTATATTTAAGGAAGTACCAACGGGGGATAGCCGAGGAGTTCCAATTTCCACTTACGCCAACTTTTAGTTTTCGCCCCGTAGGGCCTTGTATCAAAGTAACTTCAGCTAAATCTCCTATAAATACATAGCATGTAAATATTTTTTCCTATGTGATTGAATGCATTCGAAATGCATTATGATTTTTACCAGATATAGTTGCAATCCATTTATTATCCACCGATAATTTTGATAGATATGGCTTCTGTTGTACATCGCGTGGAAATAAATCTGATAATTTTACCGTTTCAGGTTGCAATCCAGCGGCTATACCAGCGATTACTGATCCGATGGAAACAGGACCCCAGCTGTAACATATTTATCAAGATGATATTAATAATGTAACATATAATAAAATCATACATTTGAAAGAATAAACGCAGGTATGTATTGCAAATATAAAAATCAATATAAAATCTACGTACATTGTTTTTATAATGCCATTTTCTACAGGACAATTACTGTATGGTGGCATTGAAAGAACTCGAGCGACTTTTGGATGATTCGGTGGTAACTCTGGATACAACGCATTCGGATCAATAGTATCTTCTGTGGCTACATCCTTGTGGTTTGTGATAACGTCACTATGTGTGATAAAATTTTTTTATGAATACAGTATACAAGAGTTCTATTCATCATGTTCACACGTAAGCTATTATTGGTACCCGGTAACGCTGGTACACTTACATCTGCTCAGGCGTTAAGGTTTCTACGTCATGAATATTAAAATTCTCTTTAATGGAATGATTGCTGTTCACACTTCTTGCTCTTCTGTATAAATCATTTGTAAATTTACATACTACGTTTTCATCACCTCTTTCAAAAATTTCGATAGAATCAGACAGCATAAAATGAAGAGTGCACTATATAAAATAATAAAATATGTTAGATAAAATTCCATAAAAATGTAAGCGATGGCCTTTGTGAAACAAAGTTATCACTTATTTTCATTATCTACGTAACAGAGTATAAACTTCTATTTAGTTTACCTTTTCGACATTTGTAAGTACTTCGTGTGGAATCTCAGCAGTTCTCTGCGGTATAAAGGAAAGAGTTCGTGTAAATTTTGCAGCTTGTTCATCCATTGGTGCATAAGGTGACACGCCAGGTTGTCTCGAGACATTTGGATTTTCGATTATCCCATCTTGGCGAAATCTATAATTGTAAATAAAATGCTAATGCTTAAACGCTTAACTTTTCGCGTGAATATAGATATTTCGTAATGTCGGATACTGTATAAATTTTTACCTATGCATAATTCCAATAGTTAAAGTCCGTAAATCCATATTCAACAAGCCTTCGGCATTTTCAATTTTACGAATAAGTGCGATCAATGTATTCAAAGTATGTGGTAATCTATTATCCTTTTCATAAAGATACTTATTGTCGTAACATTCTCGAAGCTCTGGGGCAATATCTTTGTATGAAATATCTTGCGCGATAACGCCTAAAACATATTTATAAATTCTATATAGATAATAATAATTAAAATAATAAACAAAAGATAAAACAATAAATAAATAAAAAATATATCATATTAACTAATTAGTGATATATTAACATATTATGAAAACCTGCGGAATAATAAATAGTTTTCTTACCAAGAGTAATGAAGATAATCCAAGAATACCATTTAATCATCTCACGACTGCTAAAAAACGAGAGACAGAGTTTATAATTATTTGTGGCATGCTGTTTCTATCTACGATTAATACCGTGCACAATGAAAACCCTTCTAAACGTATTTAAAGACGAAAAACTCACCTAGTATTCTGCATTTTGATCTCTTTTACACAGGGGAGACACAGTATCCATTCAGTTTCACGTAACAAGGTCCTACACCACACCTTTTCAGAGATATAGTAACAGTCACCACCATCACACTATCAAAAGATAAGATATGATACGTTATGAGTAATGCACCCCTTCCCCAGCTAGAGATGGCCTATTGCGATTACGACTTATATTAGAGCATTCCAGTTACGAGTATTTTATAAATATTATAAGCATGATATATTAATTATAGTAAAACCATGCAGCTGGTTTTTTACATGCACGTACGTGTAGTCAGATATAATCGTATACATACTGAAATTTTACATTTTTGTCTAAAACTACAATGTGATACGATGTTAATAAATGTAATTATACAGAGATATTCTAATTTAATTCAAACAGCACAATGACAAGTTCATATTTTGGCTTCTAAAATAGGAAACCACCTAGGAGCAGTAGACTGCGCAGTCAAAGTTATCTTATCAATGTTAAAGTAGAACATGATCTCTTACTATATCTTTTCGCGATATGAATCATTGTGCACTGTATCAGGTGTAATATGAGCGTTATACTCAGTGATGCTGCAAAACTTTGTCAGTAGTGAAGATGTATTTTTTCACAGTTTTGTTAATATGTTACGGTATGATGACGAATTTATGACATTTGACAAGATATGTGCTCGATAGTGAAAATATTGGATAGAATATTATCTTCTGGATACTTCATTCTTAGTTTCTTTTCTTCCTAGGGATACGTTTGATAGAATCTCACATCGGTATACCGGATGAACTCCAAGAATGTTACGTGAATGACAACATGAAAAATTTTCATCTTCCCATGAATATTCGTGTGTTACTAGACATTATCCGCAAAGCAGAAAAAGATTCTTACGCTACGATGGATGTTAAAGCGATGTCATCATCCTTACTGCATAGGTACAGCCTTCTGGTACAAATTGAAATTGCAATTGAATGCAACGCAAATTTCATAGTTTGTGTGTACATTATACATTATATCATCACCTTCATTTTCGCACATATTAGATTTAAATTTGATGGCGTCGAACACTATGAAAATATACAGCCACGCGACGGAATACTTCCCTATGGACAATCTGGAAAGCAAAGCATAAGAAATAGATTAATAAAAGTATTGAATCCAGGAAAACCAGAAATTTTTCCGTTTGATTCACTCACAGCGATAGAACGATGTACTTTACACCATGCTATTTCAAATACGATAATGAAGGAAAGTTCACATGATACAAACCTGTTATGTGAAGAAATAGGACAAAAACTTACAAGTAATATTTATATACACATCTATATTTTCACGTATGAATTCGTACAGAAAGTAATTTAAAATCAAATAGAATAATGTATACAGCTAATTCCATATTTGCCGATCTGTGGAACTGTCCGAAAGAATACGGAGTAATTCTTACACCATATGGAACCATTGCACCAGGTGCTATCATAGGAGCTATTGCTGCTTCGCTTCAGCATCAGACTATCTCTTTAAATGAAATATTCAACATCACCGGTAGTGTATACACAAGAGTTCCTGGAAAGGGATATTAAGGATTATATTAAATATCTCATATAAATTAAGAGCGCAAAAAGCAAGTAGCACGTGGAAATTAAAACATTAATGTGTATGTAGCCATATTAGTAACACATTTGGTTTCAGAAAGACCTAGTACCATAGATGGCATGGATTATCCCGACCAAGTTGATTTCATTTTGCCGAGAAGCGAAATGATACACGCTAGATCAATGTCATATCTTTCCTTTCTCGGGTTAAATGTTAATTTGGATAATGTATGGCTAACTACGATTGCAGGTAAATTATTTTTAAAACAACGAGCTACTTGTATACATTTCTTTATGCTCAATAGTATCACGTAAAACTGAAAATAATGAATAAGTGTTTGATAAACTACAAATCATCAAATGGGATATCACTTTCCAGGTGATTTAGCGGAAATAGTAGTACATCAAGGACCCATATTGGGCGCTAATATGGAACTTGGAGCTGCTGGATTTTGGAATAATACTATGCGTCCTCACGTTTATTATTTAAAAAGCAGTAAAGATGGCTATCTCGATGCCACTCGTGCTGAAATAGTTGGTGACATCGATGGTATACGCGTTTCCAATGATCTTTTGCTATTGAAAGATTAATTTATCAGTAATTCATTTCTTTTTCAACTTGATTCATAGCTCTTATTATAGCAAATTACGTGAACACCTGGGTGAATGACTTTAACAGTCTTCGTTTAAGTCAGATTCTTGATATGTATTATTCTAACGAAGGTATAACTGTACATGACGAAAACGTCAAAATTTGCAACAGAAAGAACGCTTTCGCAGACGCTGTACCAAAGACAATTTTGTACGAACAGGTCTTATCTGTTTTATATTGCATAAACGTAATATATGTTTCTTGCATAGATAAACCAATATGAATTTTATTACCGTGAATATTATTTATGACAGACGTACGCTGCATCCGACATCTTGGCCTATTATAACAGCATCAGATTCACATCTCCGGAAATTTTTAAACAAATGGTTGATCATGCGGTTGATAAATTTTCCGTTTATGCAAACAGTTACCTGTTAACAGAATTTCTCTGTCGAGATAAGAAACTTCATCCACAAATAGAAGCATTGATCGCATTCGACGGTGCCTGGGCTAAAGAACATACAATGAATTTGTTCGCGTAAGTTGAAACGTTGCTTGATTATCTGATAATTCTTTAGCCTAGGCTTATATCTCTCTTATTAGGACATTGATAGATGATCTGGATATATCGATGTATGGATCAAAAATGGGTATTTTACATGGACAATCTGGGCAATGGTTGCTTAACGTAACGAATAGTCCCAGCCTCGCCTATTATGCTATATCTAATTTCACAAACATTTCCTGTAAGTTTTCTTACCTGTTAAACTGTTAAATTATATAATTTATGTAACGAAGACTTAAACAGGGCCTACGCACTTAAATCTTTTGGTAACCATGGATACGGTATATAATTACTTGAATGAAACATGGGAAACGAAAGGACAACAACATACAATAGGAAGCTTGGGTCAAGTGGTCCTAATATTGGCTCCATTAACTCAAATATCTGAAATAGAACAACAGACGATTTTAAAGTTATTACGAGAAATTAGGCATCATCATCCTGGTAAGAAAACAAATAATGCATACTCGTTTCTATTAATATATCTTTTCACATGTATTTCCTATACTAGCAAAATATCTATTTATATATTTAAAATAATTTAACATTCACATTATACAGTCTAAATTTTTATAATTGTAGACGTAAACATTTTATATTACGTGTCAGAAGACCACTCTGATTCATTTCAACCATTTATATTATCAGAGCATGACCGTTTAATAGTTAGCCCTTATATCGATACCATTACTGAATATCTATTAACAGGTAAGTACTGAAAGAATACGAATTTTCAAAACAGTATTAATCGTATTTGAATGTACGATACACAATGAACTTGTGTGCATAATATATTATTAAATACTCACCATATTTTAGTCCCACGAACTCTACGGCCGGTACTAAAATTTGCAACTAACTCTTCAATGTTCAAAGATGAAATGGAGGACTATATAAGTCTCTCCAAATCAGTTACGTACATTTTGCATCCACGGCACATTGATACAAAGAAAACAACAATTACAGTTAGTATTTTCAAACAACTACATCAATTTCTATCTCATATTATGAAATCCGTAAATGTGATGAATATGAATACAATAAAACTCTCTTCTCATTTGGAACTTAATTACCAATTGTTTTGTTATTATATACGTAACTTATTAATATTTCTACTAGGTTCATAATTTTGGTTATGGGACGATAAAAGCTTGTTCGTGGAAACAATATAAAATAGGCAACAATCAGGAACATATGTCATGTCAAATGCTTGATTCGCATCAAGTTGTTAATATAACTGATGATTTCGTATGTAAGGATATAGATTGTCCTTACATATATTTCCGTATACAAAATGCTACTTCCTACAGAAAATGTGCAGGTAATGTTCAATAGTTATACTAAAATAAAAATTTTTCTAATTTTTCTAATTCTTCTAATTTTTTCTATATTACATAAGTTCCATTTCTTTATGTACACTTATTTTATGCTCCAGAAATAGAATGCAGATCACCAGATCAAGTGAGATACATTATAAGGATGCAAAGTTACGAAAACTCGGCAAATAAAATATTTGTAAATATATTCATATTTTTTATACAATTACTTATATTAAATATTTAATTATTATATAAATGTAGTTATGAATTTCGTCAATAAAAATGTTGAATTTGTAAAAACCTAAAATATTTCTTAAGAATTATTATATTTCAATAATATTTTAACTTTGCAACTTAGAATATAAATAAAAAAATTGTCGCACAAAACGCTATTCCATAGCGCAGATGATTTCAATGTAAAATTTCTGTGTAACGCTATTCCATTATAATATTAGGTTTGTAACAATAAATCGTTATTTTATTGTGTACAAAAATACAAACTGTAGTTGTACTTACAGGTATTTTCCACGTTAATAGTTTCGATAAGCGTATTCATAAATTAATTTGATAAGAAATTGGAAGTTACTCGATGTAGCAAGTTCTTCAAGTTCTGATTCTTTGAGAAGCACATCAACTGAAGGTAGAAATTCTTCCACTTTGCCACCTGCACAGTAACATGCAAATCAGTATTATCAGTATTAACAGTATTTCATTAAATACAGCTTACCCATAAAGTATACAAGATCCATTAATTTGAAAAACAATGTCTCTTGAACTTGTTGCTCAGGATTCTTGTCTACGGTATTCCATTGATTCCGCCGAGCCGCACGTGCCCAAATTTGTAGTTTCAAAGATAATTTATCCTCCTCTTGTTCCACGTAATCGAGTAAATCGAGAGCCTTCTTGAAATCGTATTCATTGGCTATGACGTTTTCATTTGAAGTGTATAACTGTTTAAATAAAACATTATCAACACTTTTGACATTAGATAAGAATTATTTAATTCAATTATTATTAAAAGTGTATCTGTACCATAATTAATTCTCTTGGTGTAAGCACTCGTAATTTCTCAATGTCATAGCCATACGTTGTGAGAACTTGAGTAGGTAAATCTTCCTGATAAGCTATAAGGGCTAATTCATTGTCGATCATTTTCGTGTTATCTACTATTTTATCTTCCGATTCGTCTGAAGCAAGTAAAGCCAATTTGGCTAACGAAAGCATGGACTATAATTAAAAATTAATTAAATATACAAATTACATAATGTTTGCGTTATCCGTCATAATGGTATTATTATTGTTTTATCGTCTGCACCTTTTTACGAGTAACCAGCTCAGCTTCTTGAGCAGCCAAGGTGTGAAGGGTATTCGCAGCAAGACGCAATTCATCAGTTAAAGCCGCTTGTACCCAGGACAGAGTGGGGTGTTCCAACAACTTCTCCGTTAATTCTACAGTACCACCACGTCTGCATCTTTCCACCAACTGTCCTTGACGTCCGTCTTTAACGTACCTATTACGAGAATGATGGATGATACACGCAATATATGTATAAAGTTCTCCTGATGTGATAATAAGATATTCTTACCAAGAAAACAAAAAGCCAACAAAATCTTGCGCTGCAAACTTTACTATATACCCATCAAGCCGATTTTTATTGTTAGTCAATTCGCAGATTTGCACAAGCGATGGGAAGTCACAATACTTTTCAGCAAGCATTGCAGCATTATCATACTGCTCTTCCTTTACTATAAAACATATTTGTAGACAAGGAGTAGTGAGAAAAAGAACCGAGAAATAGCTAATAAAAAAAATAATATTAGATATCTTACTTAATGGCTGAATTAAATTAGCACGATCTGTCTCGTATTGCTTTAAAAGAATTTCAAATTTCTCTGTGCCACGGATGCTCTCCAAGTGGCATTTCCTTCCATCCAATATCAAATCAATAAGAATAACTAATTGTGCATACAATTCATTTCTAACAGTGGAGTCACTGGTCCCTGTTACACCGTGCTTAGTAGTAATACTTTGCTGTATATAAAATGAAAATCAGAACTTTTTCAATTCAACCTTATGGATTAGTAGTACGCAGACGATACATACCATCGTGTTAAGACAATTCCTCAAGCCGTGTTTACCTGGGGATGCTGTCCAAGGGAGATATTCTGTTATTACATTTGAACATTTTGCAGGAACAAAGCGTTCAGCGTTATATTGACGATATTTCACTACTTCATGTAATACAGCCTATTTTAGAAAGGAAAAGAAGGTAAAAAAATTAAACAAAATGCTCACAAATATGAAATGTTCCATTTTAATGTTACTATCTTATTGACTCACCAATAATATACCGTTAACTTGCATAATATACTGTCCAACTTGTTGCAAAGGTCTTTCAGATTGTGTAACTTCACTCGCTTTATTTATTAAAGTTGGCAAGAATAAGTGCACCGTGCTTACTTCGCGGAAGAATATATCACGTGCTGTAAGTTCATCAGATATATAGGCTTCTGGCTGCAACGTTTCATCTATTACTGCATCTATAATCTCTGAGTATCTAAAACGACATATACAATAAAAACGAAGCACTAAAAAGAAATGAAAAATGACGCATTAATTTATATGACATTACATAATATCAGAATCACACCTAGTTTGAAGATTATATATAGTCATTGCTGCAACTATCTTCTCTGCATATTCACCGAGTACATGAGACGTAGACATGATAGTACCTCTGTACGTAACTGCACAAAACTGAAATAAAATATATATTAATTTAATTCAGTCATTTAAACTACATATAATACGATAGAAAGTACATTATATTCACATACTTTACTCCACAAATTATGTTCCTTCAAGAATTGTACAAAGAGATCTAAAGCTTTTTGTTTTCCTTCCAGTTGATGAGGTATTTGCATAGAGGTGACTGCGTTTACCGTTATTGCTACACAGAAATACAATTTGCAAATGTCATACATTTTCTGAACAAATATATGTAAAACTTAACAGTGTGAAAATTTATATGTTCACTCACATAGATCCCTGTGATTAGCCCATCTTGGATCATTTGCTGGATAATCATCAATCAAATCCTTTGCAACTTTCAGGATGAGTGTATCGAGAGTAGCGTCGATATCCATTACTGGATCCTCTTGTAGAGGAAACAGTTGGGAAAGAATGTCGTCGCATTGTGCCTATATACACAAGAAACTTGCATTAAATTGTAATAATCATTGCAGGATATTTGATATCCTTCGTGTGTATGTACCTTATTTTGTCGTAAACTTAGAAGAAATGCGGTACGCAATTGCGTAGCTCCGTCGGAACTATAATACATATCCTGAAGTTCTTCATTACTTATCAGAGTAGAAAAATTCTGCGCTGTTTGATTCGTTTTATAGCTATAATCCATACTCATATTAGCCTCCGCGTATCCTCTGTAATTTAATCATATGTATAATATTGGAAATGCAAATAGTGGAAATAAAAATTATATACTAACGTATTGAAATCTTGGGTCGCAAAGTCTACTGGCGTAATAGACACTAAGCCAACACTTTTTGTAAATAATACTGGAGTTCCTGAACACAAAGCACCACCAAGTATACTGTCTTCACCACCTCTTACCAGATCGATTTTATCTTGATCGATTTCAGATGCAGCTGTAAGGATTTTTAGAATTAGTAATACAACAGTGTTTTTGACCAAGAATATTGTATTGTTTAGAAACTCTCATATGCTCACTGTTAACTACAAGCACATTATATTGATTATATATAATCGCCTCCCAGCCAGACAATATGAAACGATAAGAACTTAACGTTGATTCTATCATCTCCATATCATCATCATAGAACAATGGGTCAATTTGAACTTTTACGAACCATTTAAACGTATTTGACAAACTTGTGCCCGTTAAAGGTATCAATCCTGTAAAACGACATAAGTGAGCACAATATAACACATATTTTATGTCTTAAGCAACTATAACTTGATTTATAATTATACCAAGTGCAAAATGTATTTGAAGAGATATCTCGGCATAATAAGCTGCCATTAAAAGGACTATCCCTTCGTCGCACGTTTGCATATCGATAAACCATGTATTTATTCTTTGAGGATTACAAGGACTTGATTCCTGAAATAAAATGAACATTAGTTCATTTTCTATGTTATCATTTTCTATGTTATATCTTATGTTTCATAAATATTGGGACAAACATACCCAAAGTTTTCTCTGGAATGCTTGTGAAACAATATGAGTAATATCTTCATCAAATTCCATCTTTTCTTGTTCATTGTGAGAGAAAAGCCAATATTGCAAAGAAGATCCAGCAAGAATGAGAACTCTCGAGCCTCTTTCACTCAGTGGTGTGCATGTAACTTTCACTAATTTCTATAAGCATATACACATGTATATTATAATATATACATATGTATATTATTTAAATTAGGAAAAAGAACAGATTACAAATAGATTAAAAAGATTGGGAGAAACAATTATTCTTAAAAGCAGGAAAACCAATTACTTATTTTTTTAAACATCCATAATTCTATATACATATACTTGTATTGTATACATAAAAGAAATACCGTCTCTGCAACAGGTGATTGTGGTATTGCCCCAAAAATCAAGGAGGTCATTCTACGACCAATGCCACCAAGCCATCCTTGGCTTGTTCGAAGTACTTGACATGTGACAGTGTTTTTCCCATTGTTAAATTGTGGTTGCAAAAGTGCTACTGTACATGTAGTTGTGGCCAGAATGCACCCATGGCCTGATACATACATAAGACAATCAACTTCTTGTCCTGCAAGCTCTGCACTGGTTTCTACAGAAGATCCCTCATGTGCTACACTTGCCCAGAAACGTACTATTCCTTCTGGTGATACTGCCATGCAACTAGGAACCTATTAAAGCATAAAAATACAAAAATATTAACGTGATTCATAAAACAGAAATTTCATATTCTATAGTAACTTTTTGATTGTGTTTCCATGTTGAAAATACAAATCACATTGTAAATACATAATTAATTTTTATTAAATACCTGATGACCAGGAGGTATCCAGACTGCTATACAGTCTGCTTTGTGAGCTAAGTCACTTTGAGGTAGTAGCAACTCACGACACTGGGTTTTGAAGGTTCTTCTTTGTTTAGGATCATGAATAGTAGTTTTACATTGCCACACAAGCAATTTGCGGCCATAAACAAGCCAAGCCCAACCATCTGTAGATACATTAACGCTAACAGCTGTATTCCGATCCACAAATGTTAATGCTTCAGTAACTAAAACTGGCAATGAAGATCCGAAGCTTTCAACAGTATGACTAGGTGTTCTGCATATTGTTTGTACAGATTGATTTGTGCGACCTGAAACACTTGCTGCACTGCAATTAAAATATAAACTAATTATATAAATGTTTGATTGTGTCTTTATTGACAGTTACACTAATGACTCATGTAATGCATATAATATAATAGGATAAGAAAAACATGTATCGGAAAACTTACGAACTACTCTTCTTCAGTGATTGAACTATTGATATTCGTTTTCTAGGAGAAGCTATCGAACGTCCTAACGATCCGCCCAAGCTTGTGCGATCCATGCTTTTATATTTGAGTTACAAACTATTCCAACAAGTCTTATATTTATGTTACTTTTTAGCTCTTTAACCTTTTTTAAGTTTCACTCTTTAGCTCAATTTGAACTGCCCGATATTTTGTAAGATTAGGTTAGTACAGTAAAATACCGGCGGCCTTACTTTAATTAGTTTCAGACTTTCCGCTATGAGCCGCCACCATCTTTCAAAAAAATCGAAATCGTAGTGAAATGACTTTACAATAGAACAGACACCTGCATTATCGCATTTTCAAGTAGTATGACTCAACGACGTATAACTTTTATCTCGATATTTATGCCGCATGCTTATTGCAATCAAAAAAGATAACTATCCGGAGACTTATGACACATTAAGGTCATTCTACAATGGTTGCCTTTCAGAAAACGAAGCGCTCACTGAGCGCTTAGTAACTATTGGTCCTTTCTGTTAGATCCTTACATTCAGACCAATAACGTTGACGAATTACTCAACCGTTGTGTAACCGTTGTGTTTTCTGAACGCAGCCAATACGTGTCGTAAATTGTAAGCCGTAAGAACTGACCAATTATGGCCGATTATTTTTATAATAATTGATTGTGATTCGCCAATTCTTACGGCTTACAACTTACGACACGTATTGTAGAATGACCTTTTAAAGACTATAGGAGAATTGGGCTGAATTCACCTTTTCACGCTTCTGAACTGTTCGTGTATGCTGATGTATGCTTGCTGGCAGAAACGTGGAGAGTAGTTGTCAGGAATATTAATTTGAAATCAGTTTCGTAAGCCAATTTGCGAATATAAAATAGAGATTAGACGAAGATATTTAACAAAATATGGTTGATGCAAAAAACGAGGAGATTGTAGAAAATGGTCCTCAAAAAACCGCAAAACAACTGCAAAAAGAAGCCAAGAAATTGGCAAAGTTAGAAAAATTTAAGCAGAAACAAGAGAAAAAGGAAATTGAAAAATCAGTGAATGTAAAGGAAAAGCCAGAGGTAAGAAATTCACATAAAATTAATATCCAAGTCTCTTTAATTTATTAATATTAAGTTTCCTTTCAAGTTCTAAACTAAGTGCAAGACAATCATCCATATGGAGACTGACACTTGTGCTCATTACAAAGAATTTTATTGATTTGTAGTTGGTTTAATTTTTTGTTTCATTCAGAATTATTCTGATATAAATAACAATAATCAATGAAATTAATATATATATTCTATATTTTCTTAACAATTGTAAAGATTATTTACTATGAATAGAATCAGGATCAATTTAGTTTATAGCATCATTATAGAAATAACAAATGATTATTCATAAGTTTTATATAATTAAATTCAGTTTTATTTATTACTTTACATATATTTTAGAAAAATGAAAAAAAGAAGGAGACTACATCAATTCTTTATACTGTTGATACACCACCTGGAGAGAGGAAAGATATTTCATGTCCTTTACCGGATACATATAGTCCGCAATATGTAGAAGCTGCATGGTATGCTTGGTGGGAAAAGGAAGGTTTTTTTAAGCCAGAATATGGAGTAAGTAAGCAAATATTTATTGTAATATTCAGAAAAGAATATATTTGGAAATTTATACAGAAATAATTATGAATCAAATTGAAATTGATTTAGCAATATATTAAAATATTTTAGGGAAAAGATATATTCAAAGAGAATCCTAAGCGAAAATTGGTAATAATAATGCCACCTCCTAATGTTACTGGCTTCTTGCATCTTGGACATGCTCTAACTAATGCTGTAGAGGATGCTATTGTCAGATGGTATTTTATATAAGTTTGAAATGATAATTTTTCTAAATGTAGTTTGAATTATTATTACTTAATAATTATTTAATATACTTAGGAACCGTATGAAAGGTCTCACTACGCTTTGGGATCCAGGTTGTGATCATGCTGGTATCGCCACTCAAGTGGTTGTAGAGAAAAAGCTCTGGAAAGAAGAAAAGAAATCTCGTCATGATATTGGAAGAGAAGAATTTATTAAAAAAATATGGCAGTGGAAGCATGAGTAAATATAAAATGAAATATACCATTTAAGATATTCAATCATGATAAAATTGATATGTTTCTAATATAACAATATTTAATCTAAAAAATTACTTATTTTAAAATTATTTTTCAGGAAAGGTAATAGGATTTATTCACAGTTGAGAAAGATAGGTAGTTCTTGTGATTGGAGCCGTGTCTTTTTTACAATGGAACCTAAATTATATAAAGCTGTAACAGAAGCATTCGTGCGTTTACACGACGAGGGTATCATTTATCGTAGCAATCGTTTAGTTAACTGGTCGTGTGCTTTAAAAAGTGCTATATCAGATATTGAAGTGAGTACTATGTAGATATAAGAGAAATTTTTTTATTTTTAATATTTAATATATTATATTTAAATAAGAAATTATATTTATAGAAATTGATAGGGAAATCATATTCTTCAAAGTGTATGTTTTTCAGGTTGACAAGATGGAGCTAAGCGGTCGGACTCTACTTTCGATACCTGGCTATAAAAAGAAAGTGGAATTCGGTGTTTTAATATCATTTGCTTATCAGCTTATTGATTCAGATGATAAAATAGTAGTAGCAACTACTCGTATTGAAACAATGTTAGGAGATACTGCTGTTGCAGTGCATCCAAAAGATAGCAGATATGCCCATTATATCGGGAAATATATCCTACATCCATTTTGTGATAGACGTATACCCATTTTAGCAGATAAATTCGTTGACATGGAATTTGGCACTGGTAAATATAATCTCATATATGGATGAAAGGATTGAAAGTAGGGTGATTGTGAAACTAGATTGTAACATGAATATTTTTAGGTGCTGTAAAGATTACGCCAGCTCATGATCCCAACGATTATGAAGTAGGAAAAAGGCATGACCTACCATTTATAAATATTTTTAATGATGATGGATGTATTATTGGAGATTATGGGAAATTTACGGTATTATAGTTTAAATATAACAATGTGTTTAGTCATATGTGAGTATCATTAAAATATAAACAATGTTCTTTGTTATAGGGAATGAAAAGATTTGAAGCTAGAGTAGCTATTCTTGAAGAATTAACGAAAAGAAACTTGTTGATCGACGTAAAAGACAATTCAATGGTAATACCTATATGCAGTCGATCTAAAGATGTCGTTGAACCTCTTATAAAACCACAATGGTAAGTGTACACAATCTTGTTTTTTTTAATTTTTTAAAACGTATATTTAATCTTATTTTTGTATACGTGTTAGGTATGTCAAATGTGATGAAATGGCTGCTCAAGCTAAGAAGGTAGTAGAAACAGGTGATTTGAAAATTATTCCGCAACAATTTGAAAAAACTTGGTATCTCTGGATGGATGGTATCAGAGATTGGTGTATTTCACGTCAGCTCTGGTGGGGACATCGTATTCCCGCGTATGCAATTAAGCTTGTTGATTCTTGTTCAAGCATAAACAAGGTAATAAAAAATGAAAGGTATTTTAAAGTTTATATTAATTTTTTTCCATTAAGTGGATTTGTTTGTAATTGCTAAAACGTGATCATATGTAGACAGGTGAAACATTCTGGGTGAGTGCGCATTCTGAGATTGAAGCTAAAGAGAAAGCGGCTAAGAAATTAGGCATTGATGTAAACCAGATTATAGCAGAACAAGATTCCGATGTTTTGGACACCTGGTTCTCTTCTGCTCTTCTTCCATTCTCTAGTTTTGGCTGGCCAGACCAAGTATGCGCACTATATTTATACTAAATACATTTCTCTGAAAAAGAAAAAGAGATTGTTTCATGAAATTAGAAGCAGAAAGAAAACAGCTTTAATATCAGAATATATTTTTTTAGACTCCAGAACTGAAAGCATTTTATCCAGGTACGTTACTAGAAACTGGTCATGATATACTTTTCTTCTGGGTTGCTAGGATGGTTTTCATGGGACAAAAATTATTAGGACAATTGCCTTTCAGGTATATAATATACACTTTACGTATTATATTTATACAAGGTGGGGGGTTATAAGTTTACAACCCGAAGTGTGAAGGTAGATTGGGTTAAGACAAACATAAAAGTTTTGCCCATACCGTTTTGCGAGATTCGCAATAATTATCGAGTTATTAATGACAGAAATCTCTCTTAACCCAGTCTTAACCCAGTCTACCTTCACACTTCGGGTTGTAAACTTATAACCCCCCACCTTATATATTAAATCATACAAAAAAATAAAATGTATAATCTGTTAATTGAAATTCAATCCATAAATCTCTTACAGAGAAGTGTATCTCCATGCTATGGTGAGAGATGCGCATGGAAGGAAAATGAGTAAATCTTTAGGAAATGTAATAGATCCTATGGATGTCATTAAAGGAATATCATTGGAAGTATGTATCGGTATAGCATATTTAATGTCCATAATATTGAACATTGTATCAAATTGTTCCTTTCTATTTTTGTTCAGGATCTTCAAAAACAATTATTAGACTCGAATTTAGATCCAAAGGAACTAGATCGAGCTCGAGAGGGCCAGAAACGTGATTATCCACATGGCATACCCGAGTGCGGTACGGATGCTTTGCGATTCACTCTCTGTGCTTATACTACTCAAGGGCGAGATATAAATCTTGACGTGCTACGTATACAAGGATACAGGTTCTTCTGTAACAAGATTTGGAATGCTACCAAATTCGCGCTTACTTATTTCGCACCTCAATTTAAATATGACGAGAATCATACATTGCATGGAAATGACAAGAAAGATACTGTAAGTTATGATGAAAAACTTCGCAAAAATAATTCGTTTTCTATATTGGAGATTTAAAATATTTATTTGATTTTCTTGTCTGTCAGAGACAACATAATAATAATTCAGTTGACACTGACTTGGAGGGTGCATGGTATAACAAATACCATGACTGGGATTTGCATCAACCATCTATTCAAGGGGCAATAAATCATTATTTAGCAGATCATCCATATCTTGATGGTTACACACCGACGCAACTTGATCCTTCGGTTCATCAATTGTTAAAGGATTCAGATATCAACTTTGTGAATTATCCACATCTTAAACGTTGGTACGATCATATTGAAACATTCACAGATGCAGAAAGAGCTAAATTTGCGAAAGTGGAAATGTTGAAAAACATTCAAAGAAAAATTGAAGATACATTTGAGGTAATATAGCAAATATTTATTAAATATTTATTAGAGAAAAAACAAATTTTTTCTTTACATACGCCTGTTACAGTTGACTGACTTAAATGAGAAAAATGTACATTTATGGATGTTGTCAAGAATCAGTTATGCTGCTAAAACTTCTAACGAAGCAATGGCGCAATATGACTTCGCATTAGCCACTTCGATTTGCCACAATTTGTGGTTATATGAACTGTGCGATATTTACCTGGTTAGTATCATAAACATAATGCACAACATATATGATGAAAGTACAAAGAGTATTACATACATGCGTGGTTAATACTTCTAGGAGTACCTCAAACCAATATTTCAAAGTGAGGATAACGCGGCCAAGTTAGCGGCTCAGAAGGTATTGTTTAAGACAATGGATGTAGCATTGCGTTTACTGAGTCCATTTATGCCATTTATAACGGAGGAACTCTATCAACGTTTACCTCGCAAAGAGCAAATTCATCCAAGTATATGTATCAGTCCGTATCCAAATGTCGCCGAGGTAATTATTGTTTATAATTATTCTGTCCTTAAGATATCGATTTTATGTTCATAACATAAATATACTTCAGTGCCCCTGGCGAAACTACGAGATTGAAGAGGACGTCGAATTCATGCAGAAAATAATCAAGAATATTAGATCGGCTCGTGCGACTTATAATTTACCTAATAAAACCAAAACCGACGCATTTGTCGTGTGTCGCGATCAAATCGTGAAGGAAAAGATTGATCAATATAAATTGCTCATAGAAACTCTCGCGTATTCTGTTCTCAAGGTGAACGAACCGCCAGCTGGATGTGCGATTATTACCGTAACCGATAAAATTCAAGTACATCTCTTACTTGAGGTAATCATGATGCATCGTATATTTTGTATATTCACATATGTTCACATATGTTTATAACTATATATACATTTGTTGTACTCTTGTGTTGTGCAGGGCTTAATTGATGCAGAGAAAGAATTAGAGAAGTTACACAAGAAAAAGGAGCAGTTGGATGAAATCGCACAGAAATTGAAACAAGAATCAAACATGCCCGATTATGAGACAAAAGTACCTCTGTCTATTCGGGAAACCAACAAGGAAAAATTGTCAAGGAGCGAAGGCGAATTAATACGAATAGTCGACGCAATGGCGATTCTACATGCTATGTCTTGCTCTAAGTAATATTTATAGAAGACAATTTCCTAACTCCATTTTAGATCGTGTAAGTTATTTATCAATTTATTTAATGTTCAATAAAAAGTGAAATTTAGTTAGAATTTTCCAATTATTGAGTTATTATGCTTTCTTTTGCTCGAAGTTCTGCAAGTATAAAATGCGTCGCGAAATAGAATATAACAACAGGATAATAAATTGATAAATATGCTATAAACCAAAGGGATTATTTTTTTCCATCAATTTATTATAAAGCATTGCCGGTAAATGTGCAACAGTTATTAAAATTGATATAATCAATATCTAACAATAATCTAACCTATAAAATTGTACGGTATATTCGTTTCACTTAATTTACTTTCCTTGACTATCAGCAGTCGCTCTTTCATTACAGTTTAATAACTATTCTAAATGGGGTATTTGGTATCTACAAATGTTTATGAAGTAATACTCGATTGAGCATTTTATAAGAATTTAGCCAAAGCTAAAAAAGATCATAAAGTGAAATTATACAAATGACATTTTAGAGATTGTAAGAGTGTGACAGTATTACGCGATATATTATTGATATTTCTATACTGATAATTACAATATTCTTCGTGAGCTGGATCTTAATCATATGTATACCAGCATTAAAATATTTAATTATATCCGGACTTTCTTTTATTTTTAATTTATTCCTATGAATCCTTTCTAACGCTGCTGTTGCCAAATGAAAGTTATGTAATAACATGATAATTCCACACTGCACAAGTTCCTCAGTAAAATGCATACTGACATAATGCTATGCAATGATTAATAAAAATACAAACATTTTAATCTATTAACGAAATATACATAACAAATATTATTAATTTCTAATACAAAAAATGTACAGAAGGAGTATATAAAAGTTATACTGTTTACAATTTCTTCCTTTTTTTTTCTTTTGGCAAATGACTGTGCGCATATTAAGACAATTATTTGATTTCTAAGATGATTTTTTAACCGTTAATGCAGATACTTGATGATAATCATATTTGAATATATAACAAAACAATACTAATGATGTATTTACAAACCATGATATGTATAATTTATATTAAAATTTACTCAAATTTTGTCCAATTATTTTGCGACTTAATGGTAGGTGCATTCAGCGTTAAGCTGAATGTATCTAGCGTATCGATATTATTAATACTGTTGTCTGGTACACTTCGATTACATGTAGTAGCAATATTCTTTGTGGATGAGTCACCATTGGCTAAACTAAATTTATTAAAATCTATACCATATGCTTGTAATAAATCCATATCGCCTGCATTATCGGAAGTCTTCGGTTTATCATTATTTTTGTGCAACGGTTGAAAGTATGGGTACAATGGGTTACTAAGGCCTTCACCCATCTCGGGTAAATGTAACGATTGAGTCATTTGTCTTGTGCTTGTGTATTCGGAAGATTTAGATAGAAGCGGGTCGAAATCGTCACTGCTATTTGTCGAATCTAATCGTATTAAATCTGGAACATCAGGAGAATCCTGTAAAAAAGACACACGAATACTGATAACTTAATGTTAGTTGGTTAATTGAAGCAGTACAAGAAGAAAATGCATAGTTTTATTCACAGCATCAAAATGTTAATTTTCGAATTGCAATGATGAATCTCGTATGTATGAATGCAAGCCACACCATATATGTATGTACACATTTGTCGCACATAATTGGCTAACAATTTGATACTGCATTTCCGTAACATAGGTTACACAAAATCTTTTACCACAGCCAAAAGTTGAGGATATGGACAACATGACAGCAAGAACAGTAACTTGATAAATAAGAAGCAAATTATACAGAGAGGCAGATTTACCGAGTTTCTAGAATTTAGTTTCTAGCAACCGTGATCGAAAAGTTGACTCGGTGAATCTAAAACATTTCTTTTCAATTCTGTACGTATTACTTATATATACTTCACGAACCCAACAATCACGTGAAGAAAACTGATCGGACTGTTTCATAGATACGTAAAAGATATAGTGAACGATGATGTTTACCTTAGCATGTGCAGAGCAGGATGCAGTATTGAATGGATGTGGTAATGGATGATGAAATTGAACGGGTATCGAGGGGATTGTGGATTTGAAGAGTGGTGTTTGCAAATAAGTAGGCATGAACACTTTACTCGTGTCAAAAGGATCGTTTTCATTCACTTCGTGAAGAAAGTTTGATGTTTTGAAAGTTTTATCGAAAGGCTCACTATTGTCCCATATATCTGTGGTTGTCGAGTCTGTATTTGTGAGAGTATCTTTGGAATTAGATTTCTCATTTTTTGAAGAGATCTCTTCCTCGGACTCAGCGTTCTCTTTTTCACGAATACACGATTGCGAGATAGCGACAGTTTTCATTAAGTCATTATGTACATGTATTTCGTGCAAAAATTTATTTGGATCAGCGATTTGATTGTACGGTGTGGATGATGCGGGTAGAAGGGACGCTTTGTCCACTTCTTTCACAGTTTTGTTTGATTTTGTAGTTAACGAACTGAAAGGAAATGTCTTTGCTGTTGCACTTGTATCAGGTGTCGTATTCGATCGTTTGATCGAGTTGTCTGGAGGAAGAGGACGAAAGGAGGATAAAATTGGCTTTGTTGAGGAAACTTCGCATGGATTTGTAATGACAATACTAGGTGGAGGGCCGTGCCGTAAATGCCCACTCCATGCAGGTCTCAAGCTGTCTAAACTGCGTACTGGTTTCAACTGAAAGTTGATGCACGACAAGTGTTTACTTTCCTCATATACGAGAAAAGAATTAACTGATACGAATTATGAAATACGTAAGTTTATCGCTTAAAAAGTGATAATTATCGGTTTTTGATCCATGCACATATAATGATACGTTAATCTACTTATCTAATACCATTGTTGGCTAAAGATAATATGAAGTGTCATTATATCTAATGGTGCAGAGAGATATATGGTGCACAGAGTAAGATTATGTCAAACTATTAATATTTAGTGAGGAACAATAGTTTAACTTCTTTTTTAATATTGCTCTCATCGATCTAAACCTGGTGTGGCCAAAAGATGTCAAAAATGCTAAAGTATATAGGGTTGATGGAAAATTTAGATGGATAGAAATGATCCAAATACGAGCATGCACAATATTCTCATATATTGATATTTTTATGCATACACTTAATATCTCTGGATGAAATTTACAAGCACATGCTATACATGATTTTTTTCTTGCCATAACATATAAGAATAAGACACTGAAGGAACAAAGTACACTGCCTGTAAAGACATTGATAAACGACTCACAAAAAGCAACAAAAGTTTATATGATTAAGGCGTAGCAAACAAAAACTTGACTCGTGAATTTAGCGTTTATTAATTCTGTTCCTATTACACTAAACAATCTCTTCACAGTCAAAATTGAAAGAGCAAAAAGTTACGTATACTCAATTATGAACAATAAAGAACAGAGTGGCAATTATTTGATTAGGTACCTTTGATCTTTTTTCATGGAAGAAATTTTCTTTGTGTGAATCGTAAAGAGTAATAGTTTATAAATTCTGGATACGCTAATTTATATTTAATTGAATATATCATTGAGAAACAAACTTACCGTTCTATCAACAGGCGGTGTATTTGGAAATATCACATCCCGAAGTTCATGCATAAGGTCTATGTTCAGGCGTTCTGGAGGAGATTCAGAGTCCTCAGGAGAACTAGGGCTTAACGGTGAATATTGTTTTCTACTGCAATGTACAGTACAAATTTCTTTTATATGTTATTCTTAATGATTTTGTACAATAGTTTTATAATTATCGTGTATGCAACGTAATAACTAGCGGAATGTAAATAATAACGATCGGCATACCTTGTATCGGGAAAATTGTTATTTCTCAAACGCAATTCTTTCCGATAGCTAGTCGTTGCCGATAATCCATTTGGAGATTTCGGCGGAGATGTGAATCCCATAGGTCTTCTATCTAATGTAGGTGAACTGGGAGCTGATCGTGGTTGGTGAAATCTCATACTTGTCTCACTTCTATTAGACCGACCTGCATATATAAATAGTAATTTATAAATCATTCCCCAACATTTAATATGAGATTGTAATATAAGTAAGAGGACAATGAGAAAGATATATACCTTTCCACTTTAGTCCTTTATATGCTGTTTTCATGTCTTTCCCCTTATCCTTAACCTGTGGATTTAAATTATTTTATTACGCTTGTTTCATTACTATTAACACTAAATTATGATTCTGTATTGTTGGATTACGTAAAAGTATCAAATATTATCAGTGATATCAGAAAATATCAAAGAAATGAATTCATAATATACAAAACATCATAGTTTTGCTTAAACTTACTGATTTAACTGCGTATTTTACTGCCGGATTGGCCTGCAATCGAAGGTACAAAATGTGTTAACTTCTTTCTTATGATTTTAAAAACACTTTGGTGTGCGTATATGCACGCCTGAATACATGCGTGTTGTATCTATACGTATGCACGTGACACGTAATGTACCATATGTGATAATAAGCTGAAGATAAGCTATGTGGTAATGTTTGAGTATTTAATCAAGATACTATTAACATACCTTATCTTTTACGCTGCGGAAAAATGCAGAACTTTCTTTTCTCATAGTATAAGTCCATTCCCTATATTGTTGCATGAATTTACTACTCGATTTGGCCGAATAACTGCAGGCTTCCATTTCGAACTCGTCCGAAAATCCAAGTCCTGAATTAAGCATGTTTAATCTTTCTTCTATAAACTGAAAATATTCAAAATATATATATGTATTAAACAGCGATAATAAAATATTATACATGTAGAATGCAAATATGCTTACCTGTTGAAAAATTTGCAACTCCAACATCTTCCGTAGAAATGGTTGCATAGAAGATGGTCTGCTTTCAACAAATGCATTTTGATTGAATGTAATACGCTCACCCTGCTGCAAAGTTAATGCTTCCCTATAGCCTGCTGTTAACTGTACTAATGAGCGCAAAAATGCTCTTGACACACCGTCTCCAAGGAGCGCAGGTCTATTACGTAACGCTTTTTTCAAGTTTGTCACCTGTAACACAGAAACTTTTTATTTTATTACTTAAGACATATATTAATCCTTAACGATACATCATATTATTATATGACAACAGTATGTTGCTTTACGCACTACATCCTGAGGTAAAGACTCTAGATCTTGGAAGGGTGATTCGATTGTATTATTATCAGCATCCAAAATAACAACTTCTCCCAAGTCGCTCTTGCGCACTTTCTAATAAACAAAAATATAATTGTATATTTACATAAATATAAAATATAATTGTATGTATTGACATGTCTTTTGAGTAAAATTTCTATTACGGATACCTGAAGTGTTCCCGTGGGTACTCCAATCAAAAATGGCATAGGCGCTAATAAATAATCTATTAATGATAAAGGTAATACAGGGATGTATATATGCTGCCATATCATTGGATAAATTAAAGCATTGCATGCTTGTACACATGCACTCAATCTCGACAGACGTTTCGAGGTAAAAATGATGCGGCGTTCATACAACATAGATGCAAATACCATCATCATATTATGCGAATCGACAGCACTATAATATTCAGTCAAGTTTCTCTGAAACAATAAAATTTGTATGAAGAGATAAATTTTATAATTAATTTCTTTCTAATATATATTATATTTTTGTACATTTAAATGTTTGATTGTTAATAATATTTTACTTACATTTTCTGGAATACTAGGAAGTTGAAATTGTTTTGGGCTTTGACAAATAAAATTCTGAAATGAAACATTTTTATATATCCAAAAATATACCAAAATTCAATACAGGATTATCATAAATATGTCTAATTATTTTAATATGTATTATTTTAATATGTAAAGTTTTACTTAATCTATATAACAACAAATTACCACTGTAGAATTTGGTAAAGGTATAGATATGGAATTTCCAGGAATTGGAACTCCACAAGTATATAGATTTTCAAGAAATTTCCACAGATCTTCTCCACTGGCATTGCTGGTCAAGGATGCAATATGATTTAATAACCTATAAAATTTAACGATTTAAAACTTAATTACTAAATATACACCTAACTACTTAATATATCAATAACTTAATATATTCTATTTACTTGTAAAATGTTTCATGCCATGGTAGTGCACTCAGAACTACTAAAGCTGTATCTGTCTTAGGATCATGACGGCAAAATCCAAAGGTCCATTTTGAATCTATACTTGTGAGTACAAAAGAAAAGTGTTGTACCAACAAACTGAAATAGCAAAGTATCATTTGTATTGTATGGAAACACAGGATTATGCCAATGTTATAATTAAAGTAATTAAATAGCATATAATATTAAATATTTTTCGTATATTATCATACTTTTCAACTTCGCAAGGGTATGCAAATTTAGGAACAGATTTAAGTATTTCCTCATCCAAAAAAGAATTTGGATATTTTTGAAGTATCCAAGCTGGCTTTTCCCCTACTGGTGCCGCTACCTCGCAGAAGCACTCAAAGAGTTGTTTAACATTTTCTCTGAAAATATCATAAACTATATTTATATAATTTGAATCAAATTATCAAGCATTTTGTAAATTTTGAAATTAATAGTTACGTGACAAAGATCATTTATTAGTTATACAATAAAAAAAGGACACACGCATTCGTAATTTTTACAAAAAAGATACAACATTCATAGTTTTGCTGAACTCGACAGTAATGTTTTACATTGCGAAATAATCATTCAGACATAACGTATAAAGAGGATCGTCGCTTTTACTGCATCTTATAGGTAAGTTAATCGGTGTAATTGTGTGTGAAAAATTAACTTACCGTAATCTAGATCCCATGATAATAGCTAAAAAAAAATAAGTACTTTGTATGATCTTGACATCTATACGTCATCGTACTACATGATGACAGTAATATATTCTATTCATAAGAACTTTAAAAACATCGTGGCCACATGCTGCAGATAATCAATCGTGTTCACCAGTTGTGGCGTTAACAGATGCGTTTGTTCTACCTTTCCTTTCGTATTGAGATATGAAAAATCACAGTCTACCGTGTAAGATTAAAATACGAATCAGTAACTATTACGCACGGTGTCTACCACGATCACTCATGTTTCTTGTTGAGATTGGAATAAATCGGAACGCGAACATAGGTCACATAGCAGTGTATTAAGATCCGTTTCCAATGTTATAAAATGTCTCCTGACGAATGAAAACAATGATATCTACACTCTCTTGCACATTTTGCACTTGATATAGAACGAAAGTGCATTCGTGACTCATGTTTTTGAAAGTAGACATTTTCTAGTCAAATGCATTTCATCTAGATATTCACGCATCATATTCTTGTTTTAGAATACAGTTTCAAAACAAGGAACTATATAAATACTTTTCTATGCAACAATGATATTTCGTCTGCTGTTTCAGATCAAATGTGAAATTTATATGGAAGATCGTGTGATATCTTCCCTGTTTTATTCTCTGATTACTAACTATAATGTACATAAAGATGTAACATATATAAAGAAAAAAGCTATAATATATCATGATATAATTTATTAAATATAATATACATATATATATATATATACTATAAATATTTTTGACACTTCTTGTTACTTCGCCTAAAACATTGGCAATTCTGTGCCTTCTGCAGCCAGTACAGCAATTTCATTTATCATAAATACACATATGTACATATTAGGCCTGTTCGTTTTGTCTGCACTGCTGAACTGGTGCAACAAGTTGAAGTGAGAAAACCTATGTTTGTCTCACTTTAACCTAATGCACCAGTTCAGCAGTGCAGTTAAAACAAACAGGCCTATTGTGATTAATAAAGGCAGTTTTGACAAACGATATCGAATTGGAAATGGAAATTAATTCATAGAAGTTATTGGAAAAAACAATAGCCATCTCAAATTACTTAAATCGTGTTCAATTAATCAACATCAGTCTTCTCATCAATGATAAACAAGATCTTTTGCAACTTTATGAAGAACTTGAAACAGAATCACAAACTTCTTTAATTCGAATCAACACGGAAGTAATCTCGATGAAATAATAATTCCAAAAATACTATATGTCATCTTTCAACTGTTTCTATAATTGCAAATCACATTTTTTCATTCAGCCTATGATATCTCTGGAAAGAGAACAATATATTTTACAAACTTCCTTTTTAGAAAATACTATTATCATATATATATGTAAAAATGAAACTATATTTAAAAGAAAATTAAAAAATTAAACAATAGAAATCATATTTATATAAAAATTTATTTATTTCCAAGAGTAACTATATCATTACATTCTTGGAAATAGATATGGTTTTGAATTATTCAGTTAGCTATCGTAGAAGTTAATATACTTACTACAGAAGCATTGTCGTTGGATTTTCCATGAAATTTTTGAAGGCAGATAACCATTGTGCACCTATTGCACCATCTACGGTACGGTGGTCGCAACTGGCAGTTACAGACATGTATTGGACGGTTGAAAATCTGAAATATGTATATTATGAACAAATATTGTATACAATGAAATGAAATTCTAGTCCCTGTGTATTTTTACTGAACTTTACAGTTCAGTAAATATATTTACATTTTTCTATATAGCCTCGTATCAAAGAAGATTATCATACAATATAAAAATATTTATTTACCCTTTCTCATTTTTGGCAGGTACCAATCTGAGTTCTGTAGTACCTACAGCAAGAATAATGGATTGTGGTGGATTTATTATAGCAGAAAAATTTTTGATTCCAAACATGCCCAAGTTAGACAGAGTAATTGTTCCTCCTTGGAATTCCTGCAGCTGTAATTTTCCTTCTCTCGCCTTTGTAGCTAGCACTCTCATATCTTTACTAATTTGGACTAAACCTTTTGTGTCAGCACTAAACACTATGGGAGTAATCAGACCAATATCTGTACTTACTGCTACACTAACATCCACATTATTATACCTGAAAAAATACATATTATTGATACAATTGTTTAGTATAAAAATATTGCGTAAATATGCTTATAGATATGTTGAACCATTACTTATACAGTAATGAACGTCTACTTACTGTCTGATCATATTTCCTAACCAGGCACTATTACCCTCTGGTACTTTTTTACAAGCCATAGCAATTGCTTTGATGATTATGTCATTTACACTCAACTTTATTTTCTCTTTTTCTAATATTTTATTGAATTGTTCTCGCATTGCCATCACAGCATCCATTTTTATGTCTAATGAAAGATAATAATGTGGAATTGTCTGCTTGCTTTCCAGCAAACGTTTAGCGATAACTGCACGTATACTCGATACAGGAATGTCTACTCCAGCTGGTACACCAGTCGTTACTGCTGGCCCTGCAGCAGGCACAGCTTGCTGCAGATCTTTAGATGTTATAGAACCATACAATCCTGTTCCTGTCAGACCCTATGAGAAATAGAATAAAAGTGTCAAAAATATAACTCTTTTCTATTTGTATCTTTTATAAAAGTGAATTAGTCGAGCAGATCAATTAGTATTAGTATAATATAAATTAATAATTTTATGAAGTACTTGTAAATTAACTCCTTTCTCAGATGCTAGTTTTCTTGCTAGAGGACTAGCATATATTCTTTCTCCAGAAATTGTAGAAACAGAAGGTGGTGGTGCTGCTGCTGCTGCTGTAACTGGTGCTGGTTGTGCTGCAGGTATTGGTGGTGGTTTTGCTGAAACAGGTGCTACTGGTGGAGGAGCAGGAGCTGCAGGTGCGACATCTAACCCATCATCTTTAAAATCTTTAAATGCAGCTACACTAGCCTGTTCTTCTACGATGATGCAAACCAGTTTGCCTATAGGTACATTCTTTGTTCCTGCTGGTACTACAATCTTAGCCAAATATCCTTCTTCTGGTGTTTCAAACCCCATTGTAGCTTTGTCAGTTTCAATTTCTGCTAGTAGATCACCTTCATTCAATTTGTCACCTAGCAAATTGAATATCAAAGAATGAACTAATGCTTGATAAATATTTTGTATGTTAGTGATCGGATTACCTTTGTACAAACAACAGACATTTGTTGACATATATTACTTCATGTCTTACCTTCTTTCTTTTGCCAACTAACTATTGTTCCTGTTTCCATAGTGGGAGACAATGCTGGAAGCTGCACTTTGATATGATTGGGATAATCCGCATAAAACCTGAATTGCTGTTGCCATGGTGTTACTGTTAAACGCAAGGTACTGTGGTGTTGAAGCCTGAGCACCAAGGAAAGCAGCGTTACTTTGTTGGTGCATTGCTCCATGTGAGAATAAATTATTGTGTTACATAAATCTCTCGAGCTTCTGACTATGCTGACGAGATTAAATTGCAAACGGTCGCACTGTGAAAGCTAAAGTCGTCTGTGTTAGATTCATATCGAAGCTAAATTACAGAATAATCTTAACGATCGCTTAAAATCACAGTGACAACCGATCTGCGACAAGACTTGAACGTGGAGACGATTCTAGGTCGCGAACGAAATACCTTTGTTGATGTTTTCTGTGAAGACATCGGACAACGATTATAGATCTCACAGAATTAGTTCGCACGGAATCACGAAGCAACGTGCGTGCCAATCCGTTACGTATGCTCGAGGTGGTTCGTATCATATCTGAGAATTCCCGATGACGCCAATTGAACTGTCTGAAAATCTCTCAACGAGTTCAAGGACCTGAAAACCCGCGTGACGAGGATAATCCGTCACTGATTTAGGACCGTCTAAATAAGACAGATCAAGCTAACGGACGATATAGATGACAAACTAGAAGTCTGTAGAGGACGTCGACAAGGTCACGTGGCTTTTACATCAAATCTCTTCGCTTTCCTGTGGTGCGACTCTGTAACTCGTTATTGGAGTTAACGACACTTTCGTTATCGTTGCGCAGCTTTTGTATACCGTAGAAAAGCTACGTAACGATAACGAAACTGTCGTTAACTCCAATAACGAGTTAAAGAATCGTACCACTGGGAAGTGAAGGAGGTTAACGACAAGACTGTTGTACGAGCCGAAAATCTTCCACCGTTTCTTGACTATCGATTGTATCACGGGCGGATGAATGGAAGAGAAACAAAAAACAGGTTGCGAGTCTCGGTGATGACTTGATGATGAAGCTCGAATAGCTTGATCATTTAAATTGTTACACGCAAGACGTACTACGTTATCGGTGGAGAGATCACGCGCAGAAAATCGGTAGATAGAAAGTCGTTGAACACATGCGTACGAGACCAACCTGACTACAATTCTTTATTCTCTTTCGTCGTGCAATTCTTCCATTAATCTGAAGTCGATTTTGTCTTCTCAATGTCTATACATGCAAAACGACAGAATGAATAATCTTACTCACTCACCGGACGCCAATCATCAAATTCATATATTCGCGTCGTTGTCATGATATATCGATTATACCTTATGAACGATCGATAACTTACCTCTCGATTAACTATCGCAAGGATTTTCATAATTTATCGATCGTACGCGATACGAATACATTCGATAATAACTTAGTTAGTTGCATTTAGCATCGTACAGATCGCGCGGTTGCAGTTCGATGTGCGCGCGTTTCAACGTTCGTCTCGCGTCGTACGCGTTGTTTATCCTTCGTTCGGGTGAAACATTGGAAAAAACAGAGATATTCCATACATCTGCTTCGATCGCGATTAAAATGGACTTCAATCGTGATGCATTGCCGCAGAGATACCCCGCTGCACGTATGTCTCCGCGTAATTTCTGCAAAACTAGGTAAGAACAAGTTACGCCATCCGTCGCGTCGTGTATCCTTTACTCTCTCTCTCTACATGCTCTCTCATGCGCTTCTCGAGCCATCGCAAAAATCCGCTTAGAAAGATTCGCATGTCGCACAATTCTAACGACACTAACGTCGGACGTCGCGCGAAGCGCTCTTGGGCATTTCTCGAGCTTACGAACGCATTATATTCATATCTGCAAGCGCGAGGCGAGCTTGCGGGGCAACAGTTGGCAGTTAGGCTGATTAGCACGAATCGCGGGCCAGCAGTATGTCCAGGCGGCGTCTAGTTTCGCCTCTTGAGAGACGAAATAGAAACGCGCGACAACGCATACGGCACCGGCGACACTGCGACGAATCGTTCGTTCGTCATAGGCGTATATTCGCCTATGATCGCGCAAAACGACCGACCTTCATGTTTCTGTCGGCGGTGATTAGTCACTCGAAGACGGAAGAGGCGGCGGGCAAACGGTGGCGGCGTACTCGCCGAGAGCACGGATCGTAATCGCGTGAAACGCGTAGGTACGCTGCGATGCCGATCCCGAGGTCCCGAAGTCCCGCACGCTCGCCAAATCGCCGATTCGTGGCCGCGACTTTATCGCTATCGTCGCGCTGATAAGAGAAAACAGACGCGTTACAGCTTTATCCATGCTGATCGCACGGGTCGGAGTTACGCGCCGGATTCCAACGTGCCACCTGCCTCTCCGTGCGAATACGACGCGTATCGATTTGGCTCGCGCGAGCGAGCCAAATATAACTTACTTCTCGACGTGTTGTGATATGCGATATCGCGCTATTACGCTCGATCGGCGCGGACGAAGTGACGAGCCTCGAGCGATTATTGCATTTGAAAGAAAATCGGCGACCCTTCGCCGCCGATAAAAAAAACGCGCCGATTCAAGGAGAGGAAACGAACGGACGAACGCTCCTCCTTCGTATTCGCAATTCGCAACGCGTGTGTGCGTGCGTCCGTGTGATCGAATATACTGTATATATTCAGTACGATATATTGTGCGAAATCGTGCGAATGAGATGAAGCTTTGCGTCACATCCTTGCTGTGGTCCCTCTGGACGGTGAGTCTGTATCTCACGAGGATATGCTCCTGCGTCGATACGAAGATCCTGAGCCTATGCACGGTTCAGAGCAGCTGTGAGAATTGCTTGGAGGCGAGTTCGGCTTGCGCGTGGTGCAGCGATTGGGTAAAGTTCTCTGGGTTTTTAGCGAATATCGCGAGGATACTTGAAGTTCGCAATTAATTGAACATTTACCATCGAATTAATGTGAGGGGGATGCGATGGTGGAAAGACACTTGATCGACCCGCATATGTGAAATGCAAGTAACGGTGTTCGAGGAATTACATGAATCATCATCAGTAAAGAGAAATCAATTGAGAGGAACGATGAATACGCCGATGAAAATACATTTGCGAAGTTTTCATTAGTTTTATCGGAAAAGGGGATTCGGACTGCTCGAATTTCTAAAAGACGTCCCGAAGACGCTCGAAAGAAGCTTGAAAGAAATATGACGTCTTTCAGACATCTTATAGAACTTCAGTTATTGCTATTGGAAAAGAAAGCCGCAATGTTCCAATTCTTCTCCACAAGGTCGAAACTTTGAATATCCTTGCCATTCTTGATTAATTATTAATTAATCGTACGCCTTGACCGTCTTATGCTCGCGACGAGGACGAATAGAATCGGTGAGAGCTACGCGTCATGAGATCTCCGCGTTTCCATTTCGTAACAGTTATTTATTCCGCCGGTGTCTAAGTACGCGCCTCATTCTTTTTCTGACTCGCTTTTTCCTCATTCATGCAGACGTATTCGAATTCCACGCACGGAAAACCGAGGTGCAACGTGCCGGAGCGTCTGCGTGCATTCGGCTGCCCGGCTGCGGAGATACGTACGGCGCCGCCAGGATCGCTGGAATTGCTGGCGAACGAGGATTTTCAGGATGTCAGCAATGACCGCGCGCCGGTGCAGCTGAGACCGCAGAGACTACGACTCAGAATCAGGCCGCACACCAGTCAGGAACTGACGCTTCAGTACAGGCCGGCTAAGTAACTATCGTTTTAAATAGATTTTAAATAGAAGTATAAATGAGGAGAATCGATAAACGATTGTCGTTGTAGGGCGGCGATGCTCGTTGCAACCAACATCTTCTCCCACCGCGTGGGAAGTTGCTGTCCTATATGATTGCGAAATCGCGTGTCCTTCCTCGTTATCCGACGTCAGCGAGCTGCACGTTAACGACAATATTACGTTTCCATCTAACAGGAGTTCGTTAGATCTAACACTCGACGTTAGATCGCGCATAATTCGACCTTATGGTTGCCACTCTGCTGAGCAGAAAATCGCTGACGACGTTATGCTGTATCATTTGAATTTTTACGCGATTCTTTTCATCTGCGTTAATTATTGATCAGTTATCGTCATACAATAATAATCCATCAGGAATTTGTAGATCGAGGAACTTACAACTGTCGTGGCCTTTTCTAGCTAAACTTATCATCAATAAATAATATTGACGGAACTGTCGATGATACTGAGTGAGATGTAGAAGTTACGTGCAGCTACATCAAACCGGCGGCAAACGGACACGCGGGCGGCGCAGCGATACCGCGATAAAGTACGACATGTGCGATTACGCGACGATAGAGCTATTCGAATGCTATTCGTGTTGAAGCTACGACCTTCCGCTATTTGTCTAGCGGATAGTTTCACAATGACACCCACCGGCGAACGCAATACCGCCCACCGCAATCGTTGACGCTTAGGCGATACCCTCGCAACGCCTGGAATTAATTTAACATTAATTTCGCGCTTGGAACCGCGCGTTACGTTATGCACACATTAAGCGCGCTTTGTAAATAACATATCACGCCCATATCTCGACGGTAGATATAGATACTCGCGAGGTGAACGATGCTCGTGTAATCCCAATGTTTACTCAATCCGCGTGTTGCGAATGTTGGAAAATTGCAATTTCACGCTGCAGTGCTTGAGAACGCGCGTCGTTGATAATTTTGTCGTAAATGTGAATGCAACATAAAGAAAGAAATAATTATTTTATGTACATAAAAGAAGAATAATTATATATCATCATGGTTATAAGAATATTTATTATAAAGTAAAATAGAATATTTCTTCAAGCACACCTTGCCATGTGACACCTCATCTGTTTGATCAGGAATTATCCCTTGGACCTCTACTACCTCATGGACCTCACATGGTCGATGAAAGACGACAAGGAGACCCTGGTGGGACTGGGCTGCAGAATGGCCAACACGCTCGGCACCTTCACCACGAACTTTCGTCTCGGCTTCGGCAGCTACGCCGATAAGCCCTTGATGCCGTATATTTTTCCCGGTCACGAGGAGAATCCGTGTAAGAGCGAGCACGCCTTCTGCACACCCTTGTACTCCTTCTGGCATCATCTGGAGCTCACCGACAACATACCGCGATTCATTCACGAAGTAAGCGCAACAGCCGCATGACCGGCAGTTATCTTTGCATCGATTATTTGTCCGCATACATCGTTATCTCCTTAAGTTTTTCTTATTCATATAATCGCGTTTCGTAACGAAGCCACAAGAGCGTGAACATATTGTTTACGCGTTCGTGCGTGTAACAACTGGCTGAACTAAGAAATTATGTTATCAGGCTTACATTAATTACACGAGTCATAGGTAAATTACAGTTCAGTGACTGGCAATGTGGATAATCTCGAGGGCGGTCTTGACGGAGTCGTGCAAGCGATTGTTTGCACTCAACAGGTCGGGTGGGCTCATCAAGCGCGAAAATTGATGCTGCTGGCGACCGATGGCTTCCTGCATTTCGCCGGAGAGGGGAAGGTGCGATCGATATTCATCATTTATCTGGTTGTTAATACACAATCAGTGACAGAGAGATCGCAACATTTTTTCCAATGAATTTCGCAATGTATTTGTATCCAATAGGGGGAAGATTAATTTTTCTATTTAATATCGAGTACATAACGTACCAAACTCATCGACTGGAAAATCTTGCGATCTTTCCCCTTCTGACTAAAACAAGACTCTATTCGTCGTATTCATTCTAATGACTAATTTACACGATTCACTAATTTGTATGGATTCGTTCGATTTATTAATATCACAATTTACATTCATGCTTTCAGCTAGGGGGTGTAGTACATCGGCCAGATTTCCAGTGCCACGTGGACGAGAATGGACAGTATTCCTTGGCGAAGGAATACGATTACCCGTCGTTGGCGGAAGTGTCACGGCTGTTGCAAGAGCGCAAAGTCAATCTAATATTCGCCGTGACGGAGGATCGTCGCCACGAGTACGAATTGATCGCCGATCTGCTCAAGGAACACGCCAGAGTGGCCACTCTCACGAGGAACAGTTCCAACATCCTCGAGATTATCGAGAGCTCTTATCACGATATCGTGAGCAAGGTGGTGTTACGTGACAATTCGACCGGCCCGTTGCGCCTCGAGTATTTCTCAGCGTGCGGCGGTCAGACAGCCGCGGAGTCGAGTACTTCCGAGTGCGACGGCATACAGGAGGGTCATGTGTATGAGTTCAAGGTCGTAATATCAGTGGACGAATGTCCAAGGAACGAGAGCCTTTGGGTGAGTGTTGTGTTTTTGGCGTATAAACTTAATTGATACGAAGAATTTATCGCTACGAGAATGGACGGTTTTAATCACGGACTCGCGGTTCACACGAGATATCTCGTGTGTAACGAAGCGTAGGTCGAACATGAGGCCAAGTTGTGAGCTCTCTTTATAATTATATACTGATACGGTGAAGTAAACGAGAAGCAGAAATAATTACGCGTACATACATGATACATGGAATTCACAGGAATGATATGTGTATTTAACGCACTCTGGAGAATGCCAAGTTTTTTCAGTATAATTCGTTCATCCGTCATTATTAGTTCGCTGTTCGACTGCAATTGCGATTACGATTCGCTCTTACGTTTTGCCATAGAAACAAACGGTGGTGATCGACGACGCGCTAGCGTCCGAAGCGTCCGAGGTGCAGATCGATGTTGAGCTTTTGTGCGGCTGTGACTGTAAGAATGTAGAAAGTTCTCACTGCGAGCACGGGGTCAACGAATGCGGCATATGTAAATGCGACTTGGGCTGGTCCGGTAAGAGCGCGTCTCTTCTACGCGCATGTGTCGCCCGCCGAGAATAGTGCATCTCAGTTTTGAGTAAAAATCGAAATATATTCATACAGGTGATACCTGCGACTGCGACGAGAGTTCTCCGATAGAGAACCGACTGCAGTGCATCGCCGCCGACAGTACAGAGGTCTGCTCGAACAGAGGCGAGTGCATATGCGGCGTTTGCAATTGCGACAAGGGTTACAACGGCCGGTTCTGCGAATGTTCTCCTTGCGACAAGGTAAGAGACAAAAATAGAAAAAGTGTCACCGTGTATACGCCGGTAATGAAACGATCACATTTGGAGCGACTAATTATTGAAATAATTATCTAAGCGATTGATCGAGAGTGAACGACCTGTCCGTTTGACTTTTGATAGACCGACGGGATTGAGTGTGGCGGCAGGGGCACATGCGAATGCGGTGTTTGCAACTGCTTGGACGGATGGGAGGGTGGCGGCTGTCAATGTCCGTCTGGCACGGAACTTTGCGTCGCTCCCGGCAGCGACGAAGTATGCGCCGGTCACGGATACTGCGACTGCGGGCAGTGCCGGTTCGTTTACCCTTACAGCCATTCTCTATCCATTCTTAGGAAATCTTTGATCTCGTAGATATAGAAAAATTGATAGACATCGCTTGTGTATCACACTCGCAGATGCAACGAGACAGCTGCGGATGGTTTGTATTATCGAGGCACCTACTGCGAGTCGTCGGCGAGCGCAGGTGGCAGCGGTTTCTGTATTTTGTATAATTCTTGCGTGAACGTCACGGTCGAACATCCGGAGAAAGCGGAAGAACTATGTCAGACCGACGCGACTCTTTACAGAACCATGCGAGTGGATACAGTAGATGTAGGTAGGTAACACACGAAGCGCGGCTCGCATCACTTACGTCGGCGCAACCTACTTACATTTCTTCCTCCGTCAATTCGCGTAAAATCGCGTCTCTCGCAACAGATAACGAGCATTACTGTTTCGTGAGAATGGTGCAGGATAAGACCATATGTACGATACCCTACGTGTACGAATTTCAAGCGGACAAGACAGTCATGTTGAAGATCGCCGAAAAGGTACGTTGTGGAACGCGCATAAATGCGCGAAGTCATGAGATGCGCATCTCGGTCGATTTCCCTTACGAATTCTTGTTTCGATTGTCGATATTCTGCTTGCAGGTTTGTCGCACTCCCATGCACGCTGCGTTCATCCCGGGGCTCGTCTTTGGTGCCGTGTTGTTGTTCGGAATTGTCGGCCTGTTAATATGGAAGTAAGTTAATATGGAAGTTTCGTCTTAAATTCGTCTCGTAAATTTATTATTGAACAGTGCTTGAAAGATGTTATTAATGGTACATTAATATATGTGAATGTAAATATGAATGTGAATGTAAAATGAGCTTTCTCTTTCTCTCTCTCTCTCTCTCTCTCGTCTCAGATGTTGGACTACGATAAAAGATCACAGGGAATACGCAAAATTCGAGCTAGAGCGGAAAAAGACCGTTTATGCATTGGACGAGAATCCACTTTATCGGCCAGCCATCACCCGATTTAGAGTACCTTCCATATACAACGACGAATGAGAATGTCAATTATTGGTATTTTAAAAGTGATATATTTCAGTTATTAACAATCATCGTTACGAAAGAGTCATCACGGGTCAAACAGCGAATGTATCAGTGCTGTGATTCTAAATACTTGAAATGTATTTAAGATTTGCAAGTACTTGCAATTAGGTGCCGCAACAGTTGATTTATGAGTGCGATACGCTTCGCACTTGTTTGACTATTGTTGAATGAAGGATTGAGCGCTTCCTTTCGAGGACACTTCACGTATCTCATTCCAGAAATGATTTCCAGTTGTGAATGAGACTTGCTGTAGGCAAATGTGATAGGAGTATAAGCAATTTCTAAAGAATAAAATTATAGATTTGTATAATGTACAAGGATGCAGCGTTCTCGATCTATGTTCCTGCGCTTTTGTTTTTTCACTAACACTCTCCGAAATCGTCTCGACCATCCACTCTTGTCCGAGCAGTTCCTTGTAAACGACGTCCGAAACGGGTTTATTTCGTGACCAGACCGCTGTCAACGAGGATTTGTCCGGAAAGATGTATGTTCCCGTACCATCCATCGCTCCATTTGCGGCAACGCGGCCTTTGTATTGTGCGTTATTGTTGTACCTTTTCATCACACGCGCATATACATCAAAGTATTATAGACATTATTATATCTGTTGCATACATTAATCATTTTATATATATACGCAATATAATCGAATAATTCAATATGTTAATCACCGAATGTGAAAGTCCTCGTTGGCAAACCTGTCTTCGCTCCATTTACCGTCGTATATGTCAAAATTGTCAGTTATGTATATTCCCTCATCTATAATGCGTAAAGTACGTCAGTGCTCTTTTATCGAGGTAAGACTCAACGATACCGCAATCGCCGAATACCATTAACGAATACCTTGCTTAACTAAGGTCCGCTCGGCGACATTAATTTCGTATTTTCCTTCGTAGCTGTCCCCGTTTCGAAAGGTAAATCTTCCAACGCCGAGTTCCTTTTTCGTTTTGCCAGATCTATTAGTGCTCGATTTGGGAGTACTTTTTTTTATATCTCGCTTCATATCTCGTATTCTTTCATGCGTAACTGTTGTTATAAAATACGTCCGTAGATATGTTGCCGATAGGAACGTCCGTAAGATTTCAGTAGATAAAAACGATCCTTCGAGATCGCGCGAGAAGTAGAAAGCTTTCGGAGTATCGCGAACAGAAAGCAGCGAAACCCCAGTGAAAGTCAGTCTTTTCGTGACGTTAATCCGTTTACGTGCGAGAGACCGCGTATTACGCTCGGAGAATTATGCGATTTCTAAGAATTATCGAGGTATTTATACTTTAATACGAGTCGGAAAGACGTTGTACACGACTGACAGGCGGGATCGATCGATTGTAACGGTCGATACGAGGAAACTACCAGCTTCCCCTCGTTCTCGGGAACAGCAATCTAGTATGACAGATACAGTTTATTGTATCCTCTCGTGTTGTGAAAAATACAAAAATGTCACACAAGATATCGTTACGTGTTAACTTTCATCGGGTTCTCTCTCGAGTCTGTGTCGAACTAAATTATGGCACTGGGTAGATAATGATTAGCATTTTTTTCTTTTACGTCCTTCTAGGACTTGAAACCTACCATCGACTTGTTGAAAAAAAAAAAGTAGGATGTATGTAACAAAGAGATACAGGGATATGCTGCTATTTACTCAAAGGCTACAATATGCGTCTATAACAGCAATATACATTCCCAATTCTCTCTCTCTCTCTCTCTCTCTCTCGTTCTCTTATGCGGCTGATGTACAATTATCGTCTGAAAATATCTCTTTTTTATACGTCTATTCCTATCTATTAGTACCGAATATATAGTGATATTTATTTTTGTCTGTTACGTAATTCCAAAATATCACTTCGTGTATAAACAGTTTGAATATATAACGTGAAAATGATTTATCAAAACTTTCCCCGTTGTTAGGATACCTCCCGAGTAACTGTAGTAAAGTATATAAGACTTGTACATTATTAATATAATACGACAAATTTACATACATATGTTATGTCCCGGACTTATGTACGTACTCATTCTGTAGAACATCCTTACGTCGACATGTCGCAACCTTGCGCGCAACCTTACCGTAATTTGTCACTTAAAAACTACACTTTGGAAGAATGAAGCTTAAACTGTGCAACTTCAATCGCAATATCGTTCGTAGATTAATTTGGTACAACGTAATACCCGCCATTCATCATGCGTAACTCGCGTGATTTCCGCATGTGTGAAATAAATTCACCGTGCGAGATCGGTAAACGGCCTTTTCCTCATAAGATTTCGTACAGAATCGCTATCACGATTTGCCTTATAAAACATTCTAATGTATTCCCTTACGCTAATATTAATGTTACTTGCCTTGTTTGATATCACATATTTTTACGGACACAGGTGTTTTCTACCTGTATGTCTATCGGCTACCTTCCGTATGGAAGAAACGTCACATATATACGTGGCGACGACGACGAGCGACCGGACGTGATGTATAATAAAAATTACATCGATCGGCGTTATTTCTCAAATAACAGAACGGATTGTAATCAGAAGTACAAATATATGTCACGCGTATTTATCATATCACACCCACCCGTGTTTCGCAACATGTGTCACAAGATGTTACGTCACAATACGCTTCCGAATTAGGATTGCATACAAATGATATAAGAAGAAATGAGTCATCGTCGTCCTTAAGATCACATTTCACATTGTAAAATGGTAATTATATATTTTTCTTTTTCCGTAGATGTACGGGACCGCAAAAGAACTGTCGTCGAAACGTCGCTTGTTTGACTGCCCGCCAGGTATCCTCCGTCCAAGAGCAACTTTCCGAGAGAAGGATTTAGAACGACGCAGACCATCGTGCCGCTTTCCTCCAGTTTCTTCGCATCGACTCTCTCGACGGTACTCGTCTCAATTTTGCGCAATATTAAGCAAGACATAGCGACACGATTACGAAACGAGCCGTCGGCGTAATCGCTGCGTATAATTGCGATTATATATATATATGTTCTGTGTGTGTGCGTGCGCGCGCGCGTGCGCGTACGTCTCTCTTACGCTTAGAACGTGACCTTTACCGTTCGCTCGCCGAAGTAATACGAAGTGGAAGACGTGTAAAGGTCACGCCAGGACTTGAGAGATCGGACATCGCTCTCAGGGCTTTCTCTCAGAGCTGGAGACACGTCTAGTCAGCTGCTGGTGAATAGCCGCGCCGTTCTGATCCTTAGACGGCACATTGCAGTCGTTCGCGGTCGCGGCCGAGAATCTCTGACTTTGATGACTCGGCGAGGCGTCTGAGACCACTCCTCGAAGGAACATCCCGATGCACGTCCACGGGAACAACCTACGACATCGCTCTTTCGTATTAGCGCTCTCGTGGTGAGTCGCGCGATAGATCGAACCTAATTAAGTATATATATATTCGACTTACCATTTCATACCCAACAGTATCTGCATATATCCCGGTATTATGGCGAATTTCTCGTTGCATCTTAACGCCATTAGGATCCGATCTGCCACGTCATTCGGACTCAGAGTCGGGACGTACCTGAATATTCCAAAAATTGATAACGTTTTAATTACGTCGAATGCACATAAGTCGCATTTTATACGTAATTATATATATATATATATATATCCATATTGAGAAATGTACTATTGTACAGGTACAATTACAGCGAATATTTATTCCTCTTTTCAACAGCATTTCTCTGCGTGAATATGTATATGTGTAATTATGTATGTGCCAAGATATGAATAATTAAGACAGAAATCATGCATAAGCAGTAGCGTATTCTATACGATTGATTACCATACATAATTATATATCATAATGAGTTTCTTCTAGATAACCAACAAATTGATTCCTATTATCAAACAAACTATCATTAACAAATAAATTACACACGATATTCATCAATATTGACGATGTGTCAGACATATCATCGCAAAGATAGCACACCATCGAGCGATCATTCAGCTGATGAGTTGAATTCATCGCCACCGATCGCAACTAAATAAAATCCGACTCGGAAATCGAGCTGAACCATCTGATTCAACACCAGGAAATGTCTCGTACCTGGATTGAACATCTTCGAACATGCCAGTGCTGCGAATGAAGTAAGGGCACACAACCGTGGTGTTGATGTCATATCCCTCATACTGGAATAGAATAACAAGGAAAATTCGATTGATCAATAGAGAAAATCTCCAAGAAGATGATCTCACATATTTCGTCCGTAGCACATCATCAAATAATGCGATTACCTCAAGTTCTATCCGGAGAGCCTCGTCAAAGCCGACTGCCGCGAACTTGGACGCACAATAGTCCACCAATTTGGGGACGCCGCAGTAACCGGCTAAACTCGCTATGCTCACGATATGTCCCTTGTTGTTCTCCATCATCGCCGGGAGGAACGCCTTTACGGTCTATAAAAAAATGTGGATCATTGCTGATCGATCGTGCCGATTTTTGTAACGGTTTCAGAACGGGAACTCCGAACGACGTTCGTTCAACCGGATGAGAATAACAAAGTGGACGATGCTGCTGAGATCTCTGTACTTTAATACTTATGAAAAGTAGTAAATTGGATCGCGAGGGTGGAAGAGGAGGGGAAAGAGTGTTGGAAAGTGGATGGCAAGATTCTATCGAAATGACCGTGACATCGAGGTCCGAGAGGTCCACCGGTTCGCCATCAGCTCGCAGGTTTCTTTGCCGAAGTCGTTAACCCACTTTGGCGAATGGATCTCGTCTTTATATCCGGTTTTGCACCAGTTTTTATGGCGCTTTATTCATTTCGAACCTTTGCCCTCGTTAATCGCATTCATATCAATGTGCAAAAAGTTGGATTAAAAGTCACCACGAAAGAAAAGTTGATCTTTGGACGAACTGTCGCTGTTCACATGGAGACCCCGTCGTATCGTAAAATTTGCGACGACGTGAAGCGACTAAATAAAATCCGACTCGGAAATCGAGTTGAACTTTCTGATCCCACACAGATCATGAAGAGATTCATCACGATCTACAGTAATATGTAAAATGAACGAATTGTCGGATCGCAGTTTGTTTTGCCTGTTTTACTCGGTGACCACAAAATTTTACGAGATCTTATTACTCGCTGAAGGCAGCAACGTCGACCTTGACCGAATAAGCAAGCAGTCATTATATAGTCAAGGATGTTTAAAAATATCTCGAGTGCATATGTATCATGATTTATTCAAACAAATTATTCGAACAAATTCAAAATTAAATCGACGCATAGAGACGCATCGAGAAATATTCCAACGAGTTTTATCAGAATAAAAATTATCGAAATTCAGACATTACGCTGAAAATCACGTTTTACTGGTTCTGTTCGTGCCAGTAAAGCAACGTCAATTTTGGCGTCAGTTGCTTAACACATTGCATGCGGGTATATTTCGTAGCGGGCGTTTTTTCGTGAATTTCGCGGGAGTTTGGTCATTCAGTAAAATCGCAATAAATCGATAACTACTTTGTGTTTCTCAACGAAACTTTTTTTATTTTACACTTAAATATATGCTCTACGATTATAAAAAAAAACATTTTTTTTAATAAGTAAATATAGAATAGTAAACTAAAAATGAAAGGAAAATAGACAATTTTTAATTTTACTATTTATTCAAAAATATTTCTTCATAACAACAAGTACAAATAGCAATGATAAGACTAATATTTCTTCACAGTATGGTACCGTTCAAAGCATTTTCCTCTGTGAAGCGGAACACAGCAGAAGTTATAATACATATGAAACATGTTTCACTCCGTACTTTTTTGGCAAAACACGACTTGTACGTTCTGAAGCTGTTAAACCAAGTAACTCGACAAACTAAACTTCTAGAAAGAAACAATGGAAATCGTTGCCTAACACAAACACCATACACACTTACAATGCCCATCGTATTTATACGATACCAGCACAAATCTACTAAATACGTACTTTTACGTGACCCGCGCTCTAGTGACAGACTGCAAAAAACGTAAAAGTACGTTTCCCGCATGCAATGTGTTAACAATGAGATACTATTAACTTAATTGCTCCTTATCGTCTTTTTATTTCGTTTTTATTGCGTTTTCCCGCAAAATGTAAACTTAGACAGATATCGACACCAATAAATCCGTTTCTGCTGCTTCATCTTTAATTCGCATTATACGAGTATGCGGATCGTTAGATTCACTAACATTTCCTGCGACGGAACCTTCATTTACATATATCAATCACCGCAATATATCCTTAATAAGAAGAATTAAAGAACAACCAGTGAGTTATTGAGAGATATTGACAGCAACATATCGTCGCGCAAAGAGAAGTTGCTGGGATAGCATCATGTCGAGTTGGAAAGTAAAACACGAGGCTACGTCGATTTTATAAGAGTAACATCGACGATCCTTTCATCGATGATCCCTTCTCGCTGTCATATATATATATATATATATCCGGAGCGAACGGTAGTTTAAGGATCAGGAATGGGGCAGGAATCCGAATTAAGGAATTATTTGAGTCTGGTCAGCAGCACCGATGCTGACGGTACGTGTCGCAATGGCGGGACACGTGAACATTGCAATATCGCGAGTAGCCGACACTCGCACACTTATCCAACCGGTTCTTGTGTATACCTGACCAACAGCAACAAACGATAGAAACGAGCGCGGAATGCCTCTCACTACGACTTCTCTCCTCTTCCTCCTCTTTCTCCTTCGCCATCATCTCCACCTTCTTTCTCTCTCCCTCTCTCTCTCTCTCTCTCTCGTGCGCGCGCGGCTAAACGATTGGTGACCTGTGAATCTAGGTTCAAATTCGTTGACTCGAATTGAATAATTTAAAATCGCCGCAGGTGGGTGTATTATATCGCAGACCGAAATGTACCGTTTCGAAATCAACGGTATTTCGTTACAAAATCCGAAGTGAAAGACTCTGGAACGTGTAGGGAACGTCTTTTTTTCACCACATTCCTTGATGAATGGTATGTTTTAGCATCGCAATGTCGGTGTCAGTGTTGTCGCGCACGAGAGATATTTCTAAAAATATCACATACACAGCGCGATATATGTTTTTCTTTTTTCTTGCGAGAAAGAAGAAGAAGCGAGGATATCACTCAAGATTTACTACTCGCCCCGTTTTATCGCTTTCTTCTTAATACAAACATGAAGAATATATTTACAATTGAGCAATCATAAATTCTGAACAGCTATAAATATTTGATCTTAACTTTAACTTTTGGCTCCTACTGATAAAGATAAAAGATGCTTACTCACCCAGAAATGACTCATGATGTTAACATCCATTGTCCTCATAATGAGCTTATCCGGAGTATCCAACAACCTTGTCCCAATGGCGACGCCCGCGTTGTTGATGAGAATCGTCACCTGTGAATACGTGAGACACACCGAAATTATTTTTTCACGTTGCGCGAGGCACAGTAAAGAGGGACATCGTTCGCGAATGACGGCGAAATTGTCCCGCACATGGAAACAATACGCGGCATCGTGACTGGCGACGGTCGGTGAGAACACAAAGACGCGGAGAGGAAAATTTTTCTCGCGACTTTCTTGAGACCACCCGACGGTCTCCCCTATACGTATCGGCGACGTGTATTGCAACGTTGTGGCGTAACATAGAGACTTTCATAATGTCGTTCGCTGCGATACTCGTCACCTGACGAGACCACTAGCTAGACGAGTCGCCGACGAGCATTCGTCTTCTACGGAGAGATTCGCTTCGTGTGCCTCTGACCGATCGCCAGGATCGTCGAGTAAGACAAGTCGCGGTAATATTTATTCTTTCCTTTTTTTCTCGAGAGAAGAATCCTGGAAATCATTTAGTTGGATTTGCATGGCATGTCGTCACGTCTTAAGCAAGCAAGGACATTTTAAATTCAGTCCTCCAGCAAGCGATTGGGAATGTTATAATATGATTATGGAGCGAAGTTAATTGGTCGAACAACAACGACGTTAGATTACCTTGCCGATCTCCTCCTTGATGATAATGGCTTTTTTATATATGTCTTCCCGATCACACAGGTCGCAAACATAACCATAACACGTGCCGCCGGCCGCCTGGACCAACTTTACAGTCTCCCGAATGCCTACAACGAAAAAGAAATCACATTCCTTGGTTACGTTTTTTGCACCTAAATGAATTACGGCGTATTTCGCCCGGTACGTGTTTGACCGGTCGCTTTAGATCAGAAAATTAGGAATTTGCGAGGCATATTGCGGGGCACAAGTAAAACTACAACATCATGACAAAGCTGCGAGACATTACTGGAGAAGAAAGTCTCGAGAGAAAGAGAAAGGCAATTTTGACATCGCGGAATTGGTCTTGCTTTCTCGCTAGTTTTGATCCACTCCACTACATCGCAGATCTACAAACGACACTCCACTTCTTGCAAGGAAGATAAGAAAGAGGAACGATTTGATCGGCTGGAATAAGCGATAATTATGCTTGATGTGAATAAAAATAAGTATATGAATAGTATATGATTAGTAGTCTTCAAGAAAGCGAACGAAGTTCAAAGAATAATGACGTTGCAAACTTTTTTACGGTTATTAACTTTGCACTCGCGTAAATCACGCGTGTAACTCTTCGCCAGTCGTATCCTATGTATAAAATTTCCCGAATAGAAAGTTCTCTCCATCCTTCGCAGGACACCGCCTCCTCGGCCGAGAAGGAGCAATTGCTATGGGTGTGCGTATTCATGCGATGGATAAAAATCCATCTTACTTTCACTGCATTTGGTTCCTCCGAATCGTTATCAGAGGAATACCGTCTTTCTTTAATAATGCTTTGATCGATCGATTACCATTTAATTATCTCGATATATTAACGCAGAGGATCATAAGATGAACGTCATGATTTAACATGTAACATTTCTTTTTACGCGAGTTGTGGAAATCAAAGAATCGATTATATAAATTATTTCCTCTGACGTGAACTCTTGTGAAAAATAAATATTTCCAAATAGAGTTGCCAGATTTGGAAATTGAATTGTCTTTCGGGCAAACTCCCGAAAAAGAAAAAGAAGGATCTGGGAATGTAGTTTTGAAAGATATATATTTTTTTAAATATTAAAGAATATATATAAGGAATATTTTATAATCTGGACATTGACAATAAAATCTGGACTGTCTATTTTAATTTTCACTGTACTCGTGAAAAACGAAAATTTTTTAAGTTGAAGGCATTTGGACGTCCACTGGACGCCTGGCAAGTCTACTTTCAAATGCTTACAATTAAAAAAAATTGTTCATTTTTCATGGATTCGCGTTAGAAAAAGATACACGATCAACGTTCAGAGAACTGACGTCTTTTTCGCGATAAAATCTAAGTGATGCGTATAGTATGTGCGCGAATCTATCTGCCAGGTCTTCATGAATACCTCTTCATGAGATACCCATGTGGTATTAACTTTTTAAGAATAACCAGTTCCGGCGCGAGCCGCTCCGCTTCGTTGGATTATACATGTGGACCTTGAATGTCGCACTATATCTGTGTCGTAAAAAAATTTTTATGAAACATTGTTTTGTTTTTGTAATGTCTATTTTATTTAATGATCGCATCGCACAATCATAAATATACAACGATCCGCATGATCAAAATCATAAATTCAATCGAGGAAAAAATTGATTAGTCTTGCAAATTGGTTTTTCTTAATGACGGATTAATATGTAACGATGCAACCGTGGCACAGTGACACCTGTGCGAAGCTATTATTCATAATATTTAATAATATTATTTATAATAGCTATAATTATTTAAGTTCGTCATTGTAAATATTGGGCGCAAATATCTTTGCGATAGAGGCGGAATTATCTGAGTATTTCGCATTCGTTCCACGATTAACGCGAGTTAAAATTCTACGCAACGTCTATCCCAGCCGCGTCCGTGAACTCATAATTAATTCTTAGATACGTAACAATAATTTTTATGATGAAATCTAATGACCTTCCACTGACATTGATCATGAAAAAGAGAAGAAAAAGAAAAGAATAAATTACTGTAATTGGATGATCTCGACGTTACAAGTATCTCTATAGATTTAACGTTGTGCTGAAAGATACTCCGATTGAATCGTGATGCAGTTACACATCGGGATTCGTCATCGTCGTCAATATCAATAATGATAATATCGATGCGCTTAAAATAACAAACGTGGTATCGCAAATATCTCTCTCGGTGATCTTTAAGATTTAAGTCGTTTAAGACGACGACTGTGATTGAACAATAACGGCTGTGCCCGTGGAATAATAATGCAACGATCAGGACGTGATTCATTAGACAAATGGAGATCGAAATAAAAGGGAAAGTAAAGTTCTCCGCGAGTGTAACGATCGCCGATCGTGTCACAGGTCGCGAACGTAGACAATCCGGATAGCCGACAATTGACTGAGTTCGGTATTTATTTCCGCCGTCAGTGATAATCATTCGACGATTATGAAAATATCAGATAAGAAAGATCAAGAAAAATACCTACGCTTTAACAGCATCGTTATTATATATATCGAAAGTATATACAAAACTAATGATAGCTAAACAAATTTTGAAAACGTCCTTCGCACGTGGCAATTCTTGATTAATTGTCCCGTTCGTTAGTTTCAAAACTTATTTATGCGCGAATATTGTCCTGCTGAACGCCAATACGAACGTTGTGCACAGTCGGTGTAGTGAGAGAACATTTTAAATGGCATTGGCAAGCTACACGCGTGCACAGAGCGACCTTGAAATACAGCAGTCCAATTAACCTTGCGTTTATGGTGGAAGACCTTCAATTGTATTTTTTTATCATTCGATGACTACCATTGTTTCCTGAACTCCGTTCTCTGTTCCGGAGTTCTCTTGATAAAATCACAAATTTGTAAGCATGGAATAATGTTTACTTTCGAGCAAAATTATCAGCAATGTGATAAAAATAACGTCTCTTATCGGACGAAATTGTTAATATTGCGATATTATTATACTTTGTTTATAAATTCTTATATCTTTCTGTGAGCTACTTCTCTCGAGAGAGAGAGTACACAGCTTTGTTTTCACAGTAACTTGTTTCGTGTTTCCACAATAACTTGTTCGAGCGTTCTTCGAACGTTATTTAATATATCTTTGATATAAATTTTTATATTAACTTTTGTCAGCTTTATCATATCATTGAATGCTCGGGAATGTATTAACATCAGTCATTATCGAACATGATATTCAGGTGACATTGACAACTCAAAGTTGAAACAGTCAAAATAAGATAAGATAAGAAAGATAATACATCAATGAAATTGCACTTTTTTATTGTCCCAAGAAATTATCGAACGTAACATAATCATCAATATTATCAGATTGTCCCAAGTCTTTAGGGAAGAAGATTGTGTTATCGAGTTACTTCTAGTTCTTTCAGTTTTGTAATTACATTTTTCAGAACATGAAATTCGACAATCTTTATTTTTCAATCTTTATTTTCCCCTAAGTACCTGGAGCGGTCTAAAAGCAAGCATTTTCAACTATCCAAAACGTTCAAGATCAATTTTACTCACCACTCTCATTGATGTCCCAGACGACCACGATGGCGCCTAAGTTGGCCAGCCTGAGGGAAAGAAGTCTGCCTAATCCACCGCCACCTCCGGTCACGAGGGCGATCTCGCCGTTTATGCTCTTCATCTTGTATTTCTTCGGTATAAACAACTTGACGATGCTCTTCAATATCGCGAAGATGGACAACGCCAGAAAGACGATCACTTCCCCAATGGAGCGCAGGTACGTCAT